AATTAAGCTCCCTTCCGTACTTCTATTATATTTTTATATTATTGAAACATAGCTAACAGGTAAATAAGCGCGTACAATCGCAAAAATCACGATAGGACTACGCATAGGCACACACATCTGTACATGCCTGCAGCACAAAAGAATTGCGAGTCACTTTACCGTGTGTCAATCATGAGGCGACGAAGCGCCTGCCAGTGTCGTTGGTCTTGTGGCTGTGGCTCTGATTAAGACCTGGAGGAGTTGCTTGGCCTATTCGTTCTTTGAAAGGCCATCGCAGAGGGTGCTGGCACTTTAGGAAGGTCAGCCGAATGTCTTAAGCTAACATTCATCCAAAGCTATCGTGTTAACAATAGGTTATCTCATAGGTAAGTCAATCGTTGACCACTCTCCGACATCGAATAGAATAAGAGCAGGGTTTATCTATCAAATATATTGATAGGCTCCCTACATCGCACAATCGGTATTATATAGTAAGTGTATATTCCATCGTAGGTTTGCTTGATTTTCGAGGCACCAGGTTCGTTTTTATACAGTCAGAAAAATCGTCTGTGGCCTAAGCTAAATGTTTTGAGTGCTATGTTTGGTATTGTTATTACGAAGGAGGTATCTCCATTGGTGCAAGCCGCTGCTGCCCCAGTCTAAACGTAGCATGCCTGCGACCGGTTTCGTACCTAGAGGAGGCTTTTACGCTCTCTTTGTAACCATAAATGAGACGATATATATTTAAACTCATAATTAATAGTAGCTGCTAGCTTTTCTTTCCAAAAAAAAATTGAAAAAAGGGCCCCCTTACTGATTTCAATCAATAAACAAGCTTTATCTAGGGTACGACAGCTGAATTAGAATAAACTCCGACGCCTTATTTGTCGTAACAGGCAGGCGTTGGTAATATTTTTGGCGCTGGAAAAAACATTTGGTTTTTGCCCGAGCAAATCAACAAATTTGTCCTGTTAGAAGGCAGTATGTTGTTTTTGAGATCTAAGCGCAGATTCTTCATATCATTCAATCTATTTGCATCCCATCAAGATCAAGAATCTTCTTCTTGTCTCCCTGCCCGAAATTGACGGTCTGCGTTATTGCCAGTTTCTACTCAGCTTAACAAATATGGAAAAGAGGCAAATCGAAAGGTCGAAAACTCATCAATACACACTTTCGATGCACTTGCATTTTCGACATTGAAATGAACGACCATTTTGGAAAGGAAAATATCACTTGTCAATTGGATAATCCAAATAACCTTTAAGAACAATGTTAACTTTTTTTTTTTCGTATTTTTTGCCGTTTTGAATCCTTTGGATTTTTTGGCCGTGACCGTTTCGAGCGTTTTGGCGTTGTTCGGACTCTTGGCCTGCTATTAAGGTGAAACTCAGTTCCGCTAGAATATCTTGTATGCAGCATATTTTAGTAACAGGTACTTTTTGGGGTTCACATCTAACAATAGAAGATAACTCACGGTTGCTATGATGAATGAAAAATTGAATTGTGGATTGAAGAAGAATCGATGGATTATGTCCAGAATCAAAGCTGTAATCGTGGTCAATGGTGCTACTATGAAATAAATATGACTTTCATGAATTACATCTTTAGCAAACGGAAAAATTACAAACAATGTGAAAATTCTTATGTACAGTCCCAAAAATGAAGTAGGCCCAATTACGTGCCGCACCAACGAAAATGACAACATAATTTGAGCAATTAAACTAAACTAAAGCAAACCAATTAAATAGAATATACATATATCTCAGGCAAAAGCATATAAGCCACGCTTCGTACTTGGGGCTAAAACCAGGGTGGGGAACAGAAGTCGATGGCCCCGCCCCGCCCCGTTCCCACTTCCTTGAACGGTGCTAGATGACTTGCGGGGCAAAGACTGCCCTTGGAAAGAAGACTGCCCCTGAGAACTGAGCCAACTGCCAAGTAGAAGCAGCCGGCTGTCAAGAGTAAAGCAAAAATTAAAGCGCGACCAAGAGGTCATAGAATAGAAAAAAAAAAGCATAGCCAAATGGATCAGTCCATCGCCAGTGAACTCAATCGTTTCCACGACCGTATCTTTGTTCGACGCATCGGATGAAAGCAACAGGTGATTAAGTTTTACATTTTACAAAGCGTATTGATTCATATCGAGCTACTGCGAAAATATACGGTGTCATGATTATAAAATGCCTTTGAAGTGAGCGGGCTAAGCGTGATCTTTCTGATTCTGCATCTGTTAGGGCTGTGAATTCCTTCATTATGGCATTTACTGAAGGAAAACTATTTGAATGCCAGGCGCACCTGAATTAAATATGATAGCGGTAGCGTTTTCATACAAATGATGCGTCAAACGGAGTTTTATAGGCCCGCCGGTGACGGAGTGAGGAAGTTTAAATAGATATAAATTAATGATTCGCCGAGCAGGATTGAAAATTGCTTAGTTACGCGGAGTTCGTCCAGTTTGAAAATGTGGCCGGTCCAAGATGTCTATCTTGTATGGCGTTCTTCTTTCTTCGTCAACTGTACGAATATGCGCAATATGGCGAGAATTAGTAATATTGCGCAATTAAAGCTAATCTTATCAGGCAAAAGAGGAGCTCGGGTAAACTGATGCAACCTAATACAGCCACCCACTTTAAAGCTAGACAACCAATTTTATCTAAATAGTCCAGAAAAATGTGTGTTTATCCTACTCTAGGCTATATCAACTGGTTTAAAAGAGCGCAAAATTAGATCCATGCCGGTTACTGTGTACATAACAGAACTAAAGTCAGCTAGCTATAGGCGATGACGGTATCCAGATGATTGTAATAAGTATAACGTAAAATTAACTAAACCTCGAAAAATTGTCCTCTACATGATTTGTTAGAAGAATTGAATCGTGCCAAAAATACGTCACACGAAAGCATCGGTAAAAAATACACTTTTTTACGTGAAGCTGAGCTGCTGTCCGTGTCGGGCATCATGACACTTTGCGTTTTCTACAGGTTTGTGGAAGGGAGTGAACTATTAGCATCATTGATGCACTGCACCATAAACCATGAATGTAGGTGAAAATATCATCGTTGTACAAAAATCAATCTGGACAAGTAAAATCGTAAAGAAGGAGAATTAAGCAAACAAAATACTGTCTATGCTGCACTGCTTTAAATGCTTACTATTAGACACTGTCAAGAGCTACTCGCCTTCACGAACGCTTTAAAAAACTAATATTTAGATTGTATTAGAAAAACTCGAAACCTGAATTTGGTTCCTTTACCATTTTAACCTGTTTTTCTCTCTTTTTTATTTTTTTTTTATCTATCTCTTGCGTTATTACACGCAGAAATAAATAACGGTATATTTCGTTTCCGCGGCGCGTCAGATAGATGCACGCTAATTAGACCTGAAGCTCTAACTGCGACTGAAACATAGTCAGTCCTATGTCCGTGAGGTCTTTAGTAATATCTAAGTTGCAACTTTCCCTGGCATTTCGCGCACCTCGTTTTAGTTCGATGTTCAGTCTATTTATGTAATAACGGTTCGATCCTCCGGCGGGATCCTGCATATGTTCGAAGTTGACGGAACGGCCGTATGTCGCGTCATGCTTATGGGCACCTTGATTAAAGGAAGAAGCTGAGAAGAGTTGTCTAAAGCAGCGTGCGTAAATGATCGATAAACGTTTAGGCGTACTTAGTATTTTGGTATATGATACAATTTATTTGCATGTTGAATAAAAATAAAGGAAATCGGCTCGATCCTAATAACCGCGTTAAATAATTATAACCATCCTTTTTGTACAGGTACAAAATTCAATTGATACCACTGCTGCTAGGGACGATCGCCACTTTAATTATAGTTCTATTATAACTGTGCGACACTGTAAGGTCTTTTCGCAGGCCGGCTTTCTTTGCTGTCAAGACTGGCAGTAAACAATCGCTTTAAATCCAAATGTTACCCTGTTAGAGACCATACAGTCTTGTATATAGTATTGCTTTGATATATATAGGGCGGTTTATCATCAGATTACCGTCGTCATTTCAGAGTGTGGATGCCCAGTAAACAACACGGTACAATGGCATCTTCTCAGACTTCAATTTAAACAGAAAATCACTTAATCTGACAACATCACGCAACCCATTACGGTTGCGTCTGTTGAAGTCGCAACACCAAAGTGGATCATCGTAGTTAATAGACTAGCTACCCCTGATAGTTTAATTGATTTCATTAATGAACGAATAAGTATAGTTTTTTATCTTTATTTTTAAATTCTTTAGTTGAATATACACAACAATAGTAGCTTTCTGTCTCTAAGTTTTATTGTACTGCAACTGAGAATCGGAACGCACCAAAACCAATTAGATAAAGGTTCTACGCATTTTGATAGCCATTGTTACTTTGGTAGAAGATCCCTAATAATAATTATTGTAATCAAAATATCCGTTAGACGTTTCGTATGCAGAAGAAACGATTGTCGACACAACCTCCTCCTACCCGGTTTCATTATTTCGGTAGGTAGCCTGATTTCGAATGTCACCGCCATGACAGTCGGGTCAGGTGTCAAGGACTGTAAACATTACGACCATCGTCAATTCCGCCCCATTTATTTCTATAGCCATTTGATTATATACACAGCGTTGTCATCTAATTAAATAATGTCGAGCCCTACGAGAGACGCCGTTCTATCTCATAGATAGCAATAGAGCAAATATGATTGTCACATGTGACACATACTGAAATGTGCCCCTGTACCGCTAATTACTACTATACTCAAATAGAAATCCTAGACGGACATATACGTAACGCAGTCACAGCGAACGCAAATAGTGACACTGAGATGTTTCTAGTTATTTATTCAAACTTGAGGCTCGTTTTTGGAAGGAGATACGTCTGACAATGATAGGACACGCCAGTTTACTATGACTGAGTCAAATGAAGTGATGTTAGTCTTACGCTTTCAACCTATTACGGAGGTAAGTATTATCTCCACGCTCAATTAACTACAGACGTTGCTACGGCATATCCCTTCTCACTCATCGAGCACTCACCGAATCAGCCAGCGTGATCGCTGGTGACGAAAAGAACTCTCCAAGTATAACGAGTAGAATCATGAGAAAGAAGGCGGCTTCAACATCATCCAACTTGTAGACAACGGACGAGAATGGCGGAGACACGTACGCCTCGTGTTTCTGCTTGTCGTAATTGACCGTATACTCAACCGTGTTTGGAGACTTGCCGATCACGTAATTGGGGGGTAGTATTTGAGTGGGCCGACGCCGATTGTGTGGTGAAATGCGCGCCCCTTGTGGGGGAGGAGGACCTGGCCGCCTGTGATTCCAATGCTGAGGGGGACCTGCTCGCTTTGATACCGCTGCTCCAACGAAATCGCCGTTGAAAACAGGGGGGTCCTGTAATCAGAGCAATAAGAAGAAATAATTACGCACGTAATTAACTCTTTCTTACAGAGCTCCTTGTTTGGAACAATCAATTCATAGGATTAAATTGTCAAACGTGGTATAATGAACCAGCGAAAAGTAATTTTCAGTGATCGCGGTCTTCATTCCCCTGTGCCGCCAAGTTGTACTCAGATTTCTAACGATTCTTCTGTTCAACTCTTTCTATAAGTATATAAATATTTATAGGTTAACGCTTGCCACAACACCTTCTGCCTGCACACGTGCATTAACGTGATTTATTTACTATAAAGTTTTTAATCAACCTATTTAAAATAAGAATGTTCATCAATTCAAATCGATCTATTATGTTACTATATTCTATTTTATATACTATAGTGTTAAAACTTAGCAGTGAGTATCGATTATGCCGATAAGGCTCACATCATTGATTTCCGCGATAAACAAATCTAGATTACATAAAACCGTTCCTATATTCCTGCCTTATTCCTATACTTCGAATCAGATATACAGCAATGAGTTAGGATACAGGCTCTCGGGCAAATTTAATATAAAATAGTACTACATCTATTGGCAAAATCCATTTAAAATTGGAATGGTTTGTAGCACCGAAATATACAATGAAGCAGCGCCGAACATTAGCTAATCTAACTAATTTTGTGAGCTACTTATCTAAGAAAATCTAGCCAACATTAGTGGGCCTAAGTAAGATCTCCAATAAGCTGCATGTTGATAAAGCTAGATGATATTAACGAAGCTAAATTGCACGCAGTAAGTAAAAAGAGCATATTTAAAAATCTAAAGCTAGCGCACAACCCCATGTCATTCCATTAAAAGTTCCTTAAACATCCTGTGAAGACACGGGTACTATTACATAATTCCGTCTTATGAAGAAAAGGTTCGGTCGTTGGCGTTGAAAGGGCGCTAGCCATAGTTATGTTATCAGATAAGCAGCCCACAGCTATCAGCTCTCAGTTGCAGCCAGTTTGCTACGGCGCTAACAAGGATGAACGTGACAAATGTGGACAATAGGCCTTGTCAAATCCACCAGTCAAGCGCATACCATCTGACAGTCGTATATGTGCTACATGGTTAAATAAGCCTTGTTGATTATTAACCGTGGCCTTCAAGGTGCTTGAATCACCTTGATGATTTAACAATATTAGTTTAACTACCTGCCTGTCTGGCACTTTCCTGACTCCCGCTGCTACTTCCTGCAGCGCTTCCTGCTCTTGCAGGATGCCTAGTTTATGCCGTAAAACAGCGATTCGGGCGAAAATAGCGTTTCCAAGTAGAACTCACTTCTCGGCCCGCTCATCGCGACGAGAAGCAGGTAAACTTCTTCTTTTCTCCCAGCAGCTCTTTAAACCACCTGGTTCAGATTGGTGGGCAGCTGTTTTTAAAACCGATGCCTATCTGTGCCTGCCTCAGTTCGCGCGAGGACAGAATCCGACTGCGGACGGCAGAGCTCCTTGGCTCTCGAACGGGAGTAAGACCCTCTATCATGTTTTGGAGTTAGGAACCATGCATCTAATCATGCAAACAGTGCACGCAGAATCTTTCTTCAGCGTTTTGCAAGGAATCCGGCGGCAAACAATGGTAAAATGTAATGGTACCTTGCTTCCTTTTTCAGCCAAATGCAGTTTGAGGAGTCCAATAATGATAGCAAAGATGACTGTAACGTGTGAGATAACGGTTTGTATCGTTGCAAGGGAAAAGCTCGCGAACAATCTTAATTGACCGTTCGGCTTAATGAACCCAATTCAATGGAGCATTTCGGCAAGAAAAAGAGCGAATTTCGCTCAACGACAGCTCCTTAGATTGTTTTATATACAACAGAGAGTCGAGATCAATACATAATTACATATAGTGAGAAGTGAAGATAAAGAAGGCTTTAAGAGTAGGAACTTCCATGTATGAGTTGAAGTACAACGTATAATTCAACTCAACAGCTCAGGGTCTTAGTGGTAGAATGGTCGAGCCCTCCAAAAAGCTGGGTAAGCTATTCTCGACGGAAAGTCAAAGCCTCCGGAAGGAGCAACGCTTTAAAAAATTGCAGACGACGGCTAATTTGCATTAGTGGCCTTAGCAGCCTTTCTTGAGTGCGAAATGGGAGTTCTGTTTGTCTTTTGCTGTCTAAACGCAGTATAGACACTGTTACTGAGCAGACAAAAACAAGACGATGGTGGGAGAAAAGAAGCCGAATGACGGCTGTCTGCTGAACTGGTCCTAAGCACGCTATGGGGTGTTTCGAACAATTTGTTTCATCTTTGAGATAGATAATAGCAAAGTGCTGCTTGACAATGAGGTTTTCTCTAGAAGCGATTGCGTGCAAGACAGAATGCACGTTTAGTCAACGCAGCGACAGGTTGGGTTAAACTGTTTAAAGGATATCCCTTCTGTTGAAGGGGAGGGCGTCTCAGTCGCGCAAACTTGAATGCAATCAAAGCTTAACTTAAGTAGCCATAGCTAGGCAAAGCATAAACTTCAATAGCAAGCATTTAATTAAATGGGTAAAAACAGGTAGGCGCTGAACATCAGAAGAGTACATTTTAAATAAATGTATAGATAGACTTTCGCTAAATCGTTCATTGTATTCAAATGTCTTTCCTTGGTCACTACAATCTCTTGAGGAGCATGCAAATTTAAAAATAGCATTTTATTTTACAAGAAAGTATATGGAGCGCTTTCTCATCTAGGGTACGCATTGTATTTGTTAGGTAAGGGCTCACACGAAACGGCCTCGAGCAGTCAAAAATCACATCAACTATAGCAATTGTTTACTCTTATGGATTTTAGCGAGGGATGAAGTGTAGTAGCCTGGGAGAGACTAGAATGATAAGAATAGGCACCGCTTGACAGGATAGCAAGTTATCAGAATTGACATAGTTATTATCTCTTTTTTCTACTGAAAGGCGTTTCGTGGGCTAAATACCTAACTGAAAACCGATTGCCGGTCCAGCTCTACCGGGTACCTCTGGCCTATCCTATACTAAATTAAGAAGCCTATATTGTTTTAATAACTGTTCTTGAGTGATAACTTGCTAATCATCTGCACAGTAAATATAAATATGCCCACGACGGACGATAACGTGTTTCAGTGTACAGCGTCAAAAGACTGTTCATGTTACTATTAAATAATGGAGCAGATCTGCCCGAAGTCCATTGCTAGGCAGTAAATAGGCAATCTGTCGGCGGCGTGTAATAAATAACGTGTATACGTCACACGACGCGTTGTCTAAATACATCCGTTTAATACTACAAGCAATAAAGAAAAAGTAATTTAACTCACCATCAACGCCTCAACATCGAGCTTGTCGGACTGCCAGTGCTTGGCGGTGCTATCAGGTAGTAAAAGTTGTTGTTGTTGTTCGTTGTCGTCGTTGACTGAAGTTTGTACAGCGGATGTTTCCGTAACTGTGTTGTGGAGATTATTAGGACGTTGCTTGCGATTTATTGTGTTATCTGAGGTTGAGGTAGCGGTGATTATGATGGTGGTAGTGGCAGTAGGGGCTGATCGTGAAATTGTCGAGAAACTCGGTTTGGATTCATTGGAATTTAATTTCGATGACTTAGTTGCTGCTGTTTGTAGCTTAGCATCTGATGTTGTCAGCGTTTTTTCTGCGATAATTAGTCTTGATGCCTGTGCCGCTGTCGGCAATACAGTGTTGTCTGAGGTGGCAATCGTTGGGGTAGTTGAAAAGATGTCGGCGGCGGATAAGATCGGTAAGTGACTGTATTGTCGTTTAGGTCGTATATTGACGGCTTCCGTCTCGGCCATATCGAGCACCTTTGTGTGGGCGGGATAGAGTAGGTGGTGCGTCGCGTTGAAGATGATGCAGGACGCCGCCGGGGGCTGGACTACGCTGAACGACATCGTAAAGAGCAACCAGGACGCCAATGAGCATAGTAGAATTAGTTTGCCTTTGCGGTAGCGCTCCGCTACGCCCGCCCAAAAAGGCGACGAGAGGTACTCGATTAAGGGCCGAATACCTGTAAGTAAAGTGAGTCGAAATGTAACGCAATTAAAACACCTAACTGGCTTATATCGTCGTATTATCGCCAGAAGTCTATGCGATTGAGGTGTGCAAAACCGCACTGCAACTCAATCTTTTGATCTCTTCTGTACCCCCCACTCCCTGAACTACTGAACTGATAATAGCAAATTTAATAACGCAATCGGCGAAGGCTCGACGAAAGAAAAATATAAGTATACAGCCCGTCAATGTATAGATACTTCGTGTACCCTGTTGGCAAAAACAAAATGACCTTATTAAGGCTGGGTAGGCCCGATAAGGCAGAAGACCAACAGGACACTGGTATTGACGGATCCTGGACTCTTGCCTGGGATGTAGAGACAAAGAAGGGGCAGCGGCGTCATCGTCTGCCATGAAGGACCTAACGTGACCAGAAGATCACCCAAGGATCTTAGACGTTTGACTTGAGAGAAAGGCTCTTATCTATTTAACAGCTTTCTCATGAATACCTCTACGTTTAGGTGAGATTGTTGTGCTACCACGACGATTTCTGCGTGCGCTCAGTTTCATTTGCAGACCCACGTGAAATACCAGGATGGCTTGGAAAGATGGCTTGTTTATACGACATTGTTAGTCGATGGGCAGCTCGCCTACCTAAGCGCCGGTTCATGCTCCTTTCCCCAATGCGTACAGGTATTAGGTAGCCAAAATATGTCCCTAAAAACTGCTTTATATATCAGAGTTCCACATTGCCTTTCCACATTTATCGTCGGCCCGCCAATACAGAACGTGACAGAGCAAATTCCGACCTCTCACCGTCCTGGTTTATTCATACTTCACTAGAAAAACATTTGCCACGATACCTAATGTCTTTGATGGTAGGCCTGTGTTATCCACCAGGACCTTTTTACGCCATCATCTAGAAATAGCTGGGTCTAAATTAGCAGCTTTGCGCCAAAGAATCAGCAAAGAAGCCCTTAACGCCGAAAGCGCTTTAACGAATTCGAATTGCTCAATTTCTTGCCGACTGAAAAATTTTTATGGCCGACACCGGGTGGCTTTAATGTGCATGATATTGAACTTCAATAGGGCGGTGCCCCCATTGCGAGAAGTTGAAATTATTGAAAAGAAGTTCGATTAACACTACATGCCTGGGTCACCTTTACTACAGTCGCCCCATTCCTAAGGCCTAATGTAACCCAACTTTTTCCTTTTTTGAAAAGCAGAATCTCTGTAAGGGAAAACTCTTATCCTATTTAATAGACAGAGGGCTGCGTTCGATGAAATATTCTCGCAATTAAGCTCGTTTTATCTAAAGAACTTATCGAAAATTGTGTGCTTCGCTTTAAGCTTATAGAAAAAAAAATAGCTGAGTGACATTCTATTTATAACGAAGCGGCAAGCACTGTTGTTCGGAATATGATTTCGAGAGATCATTGATCATAGTTCTATATTGCAGCGAATAGCTATACGTATTAGTGGTACGTTACCTTACTCATGTCGAGAAAAGCCCTTTGAAATTTAGAAGGGACTAGTTAAAAACGTTACTTTAACTGTAAGTTAGCTCTAATTATACAGTTAATCGCTGTTCTAATGACATAAGTTAATATTTCTAAGCAAAATACCGTATCGAGATATTTTGTCGAGTTCAATGGAAGGACGTGGCCGAGACTCATTTTCGAAAATGCACAAGGTTTTTTTAACACACTCCTTGTTTGTCTTAACTTACTTTTAAGGTGCTTGTTATAAAGCATATCCCCAAACGTATGCCAGTCACAAAATAAATTCTACCTTTAGATCGTTGACTTCTGCGTCGAAACTATGTATTTGTTGTAACAGAAACTCATCAATGGACGGATTATTCATTAAAAGGGTGTACAGGGTTTGCTAAAGATGTGTACACAATGACTACTTATGAAATTCATTGGAATAGGTAATCCCGTATATTTCAGGTCTGTAACTATATAAGCCACTAATTACTTAAGAAATTCGATTTGCACGTAGTACAGTGTCATCGTTAGTCCAATTATTGTTTAGAATAACGTGTACTGCAAGCCCTTCACACCTTATATTAAGTCGCTAAACTTTAGCATCAAAACGGGAGTGAAATGGTAATGCGCGACAACCCCTCATCATTGCTTCGTATAAAGTTTTGAGCCCACGGAAAAAAGTCGTTTGAAAGTCGCTCCTTTCATAGTCTAACAATTGTGCTCGCAAACCAAAACAGCGGAAGACATAAATTGTAGAAATGACATTATTCCCGCAAAGGTCCTTTTGTATCTCCTTGAACGTTACCAGATTTGGCAGGGCAGATTTTGGACTTTTATAGGAAAATGGCCAGGAAGTTGAGAGGCGTATATTTTACATGAAGAAGACCTCCACCTTAGCAAAGATGCAAATGTGGATAATATTACAACAAAAAACGAGTACAAGCAGTTGCCGCCTGTAGACTTTTTCTTACTCGTAAGAAACATAACGCAACCACGATGCGCTCTACAAGTAAACTGAGATGTCCCACCTAAACCTAGGGTGTTTTTCATCTTATTTTTGGAACTTAGGCATAAGTTATACAAATATACTAAAGGCGTATTGACTTTCTAGGTTAGCGTTTTTATAGAAATAAGTTTCTTCTTTAGGACTGTCTCTTTTTTCCCGAAAGAAAATTGCATTTGTTTCTGTCTGTGATAATCAACTCACCTACACAAAATCCACAAAAATGCATGCTTCAAAAATACGTTCTATGCTCCAATTATCCTACCAAGTTTTCTTGTGATGATTACATACTAACGGACTTTGAGGGTAAGACAAACAAACAAAACTATTGAGCGCCATGCTATTTTTATTATCGACTTATTGCTTCGAAGTTCTTTGAGTAGTGTCTATTTGACCTACTTACCCATGAGGATACCACATTGGAGTGCGTTCATGCCCATCTGCTTAAAGTAGACCCCCAACAGTGGGAATAGCGAACCAAATGCAGCAAAAAAGAAGAGATAGAACAGTTTCGAGATGTTTAGATCGCGCCCATCGCGCGCCATCGGCGCTAGCAGTCCTTTGACCGCGCTTATAAGGCCGGGTGGGCCACTCTGGGTTGCGGCGGCGGCAGCCGCTGCTCGGGCCGCTCCGTACTGCGTTTGCTGCTGCTGCTGCTGCTGCTGCTGCTGCTGCTGCTGTTGTTGTTGTTGACCCGGCTGTTGTACGGTTTGTATTTGGCCAATCGGGGTCTGTTGCTGGTAGCTCTGATCCATGGTGCCTTAGCAGATAACGTACTGGTAATTCGTTAATCCTACCCTATTCTTTTTCTTCTTAGAAGATCTTAATGCCCTTGATAATGTGCTGCAACGGCGAGTAGTTGATTTGACAGTCACAGGCGATGTTGCCGCTGCGTATTTCACGTTACTTAGTAGCTTGCCTGTTCTTGTTCTTTTGTCAGTTTTGTCAGCTTGATTGCGTACTTTGTCCTATACATAAGAGGTGGACGTCGATGTTCTCACTGATTATATCTCACTATTAATTTTCCAAGGGAGCGGAACGAGCTCCACTGTGAAAAATCGTACTATATGTATATATCTCACTCACTGTTACGTTGAAGTGGTATATAATAGATGCGCATAATTTTCGCCTATTTTTTTTATTTCACGATATTGGGTTGTTTCGTCTCGAAGTTGTCGAAAGGTAGCTGAGTATTTGTTTGCTCTCCTTTTTCTTTTATTTTTCCTCTTCGTCTATAACTGTCACAAAATCTCACTAAATTCTGACTGTGCTTCATGCACGAGTGCCACAGGTGTTCGTATCGCGCACACTTCTACACGCCTTTGTCCTGTGAAGTGTTTAGCCTTAATGTACAGCGTTCTTCGTTTCTGTATTGAAGAGTAAAGCTTTGGCAAGTGACGATGAACTGCTGTGAGGACCCCGTGTTTTTTCTTTTCGATCTTGTCAAGTAAGTACCAACAAGTAATTATGTAGATAATGATATTCTACAGTAAGGCCTCGGTGATCGATGAAGAACACGTTTTATTTATCCCCAGAACAGTGTTGACGCTGAAGTAAAGCGAATTGACAATGTCTAAAACAGGTCTGGCTTTCGGTGCACCTGTAATACTAGCAAAATGCTGCCTATACGGACAAACACGAGTTCACCTTCAATCTTCTTTCGTTTTCCTTTAAATGCCCTTTGGTGTTACTGCCGAAGCCAGTTGAACTCAGCGTGCGCAAATGTTTGAATATGTGTGTGTGTGTATGTATTTGTGTTTCGTACATATACATATATATGTTTGTGTGTGCTAGTGTATTTACCCATCGTAATGTTATGAAATCTCTTTCCCCTGAAACGTTTTTATTTGACAAGCAATATTTTCTTATTCTGAAAAATGAACGTCCGTTTTGAAGTTTATTGTGCCATTCGCTGTCTTCGTACTGTTTTTCATAATTATTCGTCTATCCCATCACCTGATGCGCCTTTGTTTTGTCCTATTGCTGTTAGTTGAAGGTATGCGAGCACGGCGTCGCGTCGTCTGGAAGCTATACCATCTCACCCACTTGATTAATAAGATAGGCCTTTGTAGGTGTATAGTATTGCGGATGTCTACGATTTCCTGGCTTCCAAGTCAACAACATTCCCACCAGGAATTTTAACGCGAACGGTGAGTCGAGTTTGATGTGATCCCAAAAATTATGTGTCAGTGTCTCCTCACTCACAACCATGTGCTGGCAAAATCCTCCGGAGCTTTTCTAATGTTTTTCTCGTTTTTTCGAATTTCGTTTGCCGCGTCACAATTTCCGATAACGGTCTTCTTCACACTAGAGTACCAGAGTAACATATCTTCTCTTCAACCTTTATGTTTAACCTAGAGAGCGGGCCCGTTTTCCTGCGATAAAATCAAAACCAACAAAAATTACGAAAAAAGGACACAATGCATCAGAAAACAAAGCATTCAGCAACTAATCATTTCACATAATACGCTAACACATTAGTTCACGACCGCTTGTAGCGTTGTACTAGTGCAAAAAACCCAGTAGACTGCGTCTGTGTCCCGATGACAGCATCGTATCCGTCGATTCATACAGCCTTTATCAATCATCAATTGGACAATCACGAGCAGTGCCTGCTCTAGTAACGTGGTGCATCTATCTACTTCTAATAGATCTTATTAGAGGACCAAACTTTTCTACTAGCAGTATGGCTAGCAAACCGAGAGGAATCAACACTGCTGGGGACGTGATCTATCGAACAGGGCACTAGCACATCGGACAGACATGTCCTATCGCACCGTAGCACCCCTGCGTAGGCTAAGCTTTGTCGTTTTTTTTGCCTTGTTTATTGCTTTATTAAATGACGAAGATATTCTAGAAACAGATATTGCTCAAATTATCTCTCGTTTTCAGACAAAATTGCACCTTCTCATCAAAGATTTTAAAATGCTTAGGGGTGTGAGAGAGAGAAAGGTTCGCGCTAATCGTGTCATTTCAAAAAATATATCATCCAATCAATGAAGCAATCAAGAAATGGATCAACACACAAGTTGATGTTCTATTATTCTTCTTGTCAGGAGCGGCTAGTCGCGCGCCGTGGCGCGACTCACTTATCTGTGTCAGCTCCCACACAGCAGCGTCAGCGCAGATAGGAAAAGCTTTGGGAAAGCACCACTGTTACGCGCTAGTTGGATGAGGTCCTCCGGAGACACGCTTACAGCGTCCACAATAAAGTAGGCCCAACAAAATCTCGAAGGGTAAACAATAACTACAGGGTCACGATACGTACAAGGCAAAGATCTCCACAAGTTCAAACGCACTTACCCGAATCATCTTGATCAACGATGCCCGAGGTCGGCCTCGACTCGAGCCAGCAAGCAGAATCGCAAGCTGCGGTGGTTCCTTAAGCAAGGCTGCGCAGGCGCACGCGTACCCTCCGATCCCTCCCCTAGTCCCCCCGCCTTCCCAAAAAGCTCGTTCCCCCTTGTTCCTCTCTTGGGCCACATTTAACTGCATAACTCCGTATCCGATTAAGGGTATTTATATCCTTCTAGACGTACAATCGCTTATGACAGAACCAATGTCATAAAAGGTGTTCTTGGATATTACTAGTTCTTCGTTACCCGACGTAAACAGGCCACCATCCTTACTTAAGGCAATGGAGCAGATAGCACTAGTTTTAGTGGTGGATCCATATCTACGTGGCTATTTTCATGACCAAAATTTCTTTATAAAGAAGCAAGGAGGTCTATAACGCACGGCCTATTAATGTTTTCTAAAATCGACATTTTTATTTTTATCTTTCATAATGATTGCACAACGCAATAAGGCGCTAGTCTCATTACGTTCTATGCGTTAAGTTATCTACTATTATTTTATTTCCTCCTTGAATTTCGCGCGACCGTTTATATATACGTGCAATGTTTGGCAGCATGCAGGCTTGTAAAATTTTGATATCTCCATCGCCATCGCGCACATTTCGATTCTGCTTCAACTGTATCCAGAAAGTCTTGCATGCAACAAAGGCAAACATTCATGGGTCGCCGGCCATTCAAAGCGGCTTACCCTGCCCTTTGGTCAAGCTTCGTTTAGTCAACACGCCCTGCAGAGGCAGCCAAGGGTAATGGCGACGGTGAGCTGACTACCTGCGCGGTTGCAGATGTGTGGCGTACCTGTGTCAGTCCCCGCAACCAATTGGAGCAGCCTGACTTGACAGGTTCATCTCCCGTTGAATAGGCTATCTGTGTCTTCCAAGCCTTGCGCAGCGGACTCTTTCCCACTGATGTTTACGATTTTAGCTAAACTACTAGCCGCTAATAGCCGACTATAGGCGCTTCGTAGAACATCGATATGCGTACTGCTGGTAATGCCTGCTGCCTGGAGAGCACTGTTGTTTTATACGTCCATTTTTCACTGCTTCGTCTACTGCTATGAGGCTGTTGTCTAATCGTACGAGTGCTGGTGACGGCGGAGCATCAATTGTCTGTTCACTGTGTTGCTGTGTGTATAGATTAGGATTTTGTATAGTATACCCAGGTGACGAAGTCCGATAAAAAATCGAAACGAAGAGCACCTACAGTGACCACTGAAAGATGGAACGGGAGTGCTCACCGTTGACGCCGCACTGTGCGCGTGCACTTTCAGACAAGCTCTACGAGAAACGCAAAGCCGCTTCGATGGAAATTGAAAAGTAGGTGGATCGTTCCATTGTGAGACCATCGAAGAATTATAGCCATTCGTCTTAACGTGGTGTTGTTGCTGTTACGATGCAATATAGCGGCATACTTGTTTTGACTGGTACTTTGATTATGGAGTTTCGTTCAAATCACTGCTGCTTTTGTGTTCTAAATGGGGTATTGTAGTACTTAACATATATGTACATATAAGCCACATAAGGAAATACAACCAGACAAAAGTGGTTTATATCCACCTGAGTGAACATTTACATCGGTTGGTGCATCCGTCAGTTAACGTCGATACGGTCACCGGTGAAAAGCTGATTGAACAAAGTTGGATATTGGCTGTAATACAAGAAATCTACTTTAATGTGCCTTACTGACATTTCAATTTTGTTATAATAATATACATAATAGGCACATCGCTGTTCAAATTGTAACTATCCAATAGTACTTTTTGACTATTTGATAGGTCTAAGGCTAACTAAACAATTTTGGTTTTAGGAAGCAGGAGTGCATGTTTATTGAGATGGCCGGTGTCTAAGAGCTTAATGCCGTTTTTCAGTATAACTATTTTCGATGGACAAATTGTCACTAAATTCAAGCATGATGCCTTTGACAAAGTAATAATCGTTGATTTACTTCTTTAGTTAAGTGATTCACATTAGCATTCATACTAACTGAGTCAATACACATCACATTAAAGACGTTAACGATGGTGGAAGTACTTGGACTGTATAACTACTGGCCAGATTTACTATTGAATTGTTAGGAGATGGCTTTCTAAGACAATGGGGATTCTGTACCAATGGATGAATGTAAATATTACGAAAAAAGTGATATATGATAGAGACGATTCAAGGGGCATATGGTCTCATGTGCTCAACGAATCTAAATGAAACCCATTTCTATGGCTAGCCTTAGCATATGCACCCGTCTACGCACAAGCTAACGAAAATATCAGATACACAAGAGTATCCAGATTAACTAGAACATGTGCTGAAAATCTATCTGCTAGCATATTAAGTAAATGAAAATTGTACGAGTTTCATATTGTATTGACTTGCCGTAAAATATTACGGCAACTTAATTAAATGAATAGTAATTTGTTATCTTTTTTTTTATCATAACATATGGAAAACGACATAACATTTAATATGAATTTTGCTTGGAGTTTGTACAAACTCCCTACCACGTATTCGCAATCAGTCAAATGTACATACTCTCTTCTGTTTGTATTTGTTCTATACAATGTATAACCATACATTATGAGAAATCGCGTATCTTTATATGAAAACAAATCAGCAATAATGTATAGAAATCTCATTGCAATACTTTATAGATAATAACCCAATAATTAAAAATTCAATGTACGTAAGCACACGGGATGCACGTTCATCTTGTAACCAGTATACATAAATACCACGTCTACATTTTTTTTAGCTAACAATAAAAAAATTGTAACTTATTTATAATCTATAATTGCTTCACAATAATCATTATAATGACTATTATGATAATTCTAATTGGGTTATGTGAACCCTCTATTTTTGCCAAGAGAAAACGCTAGGTTCAATCCTACACGACATTTCGATATCTTAGCATCTGTAGGCGTTTTTTTTTTAATAGTATACAGTTGTATAAGCGTTCGGTCAACACTTGTAATGAGTACATTTGCTTTTTAAAACCCTCATTCGAATATTTTTAGTATTGAGCTAAACAAATTATCAAAGGAATTGAAAGTAGTGGGTGACTGGTTAGACTCTCTCGATCTTAGCATGTAGAAAAGTTCGCTGGGTTCAGTACTTAATGAATGACTACAACCATAATTATGTTTTCAGTGCGCGGCGCTTAATAGGCACATAGTAGTGTTTTACTCTAGTCTCCCTGCTCTAATCAATAGCGGTACTTGAAACAAGGATAATAAAAACGAAACCATTCATTTTTCAGATCAACCCGAGAATTTATTTCACGAGGCAATGTGGGAGCCATTCGAAAAATGCTTAAAGTTCTCGCCATCGACTTTGCTTTAACTCCTAATCCAAACTCCAGGAAGGGTGGGTTATTAGGAATATCTGCGGTGGCAATACAGCTGAAGACGCGGTGTCCTGAATTTCTCGAAGATATGATTACTCCGGTGCTTGCATGCCTCTCAGATCCGGACCATCGTGTCAAGTGTGTATGATTGGTTTATCATTGACGCAATAAGTCCATGCTTGCAATATTCGCATGCGCTAATCTCTATGAGCCTAAATGCTAAGAATACATATGGGGTTATTTTATTTGCTTTTCTTGCAATAAACGGGGCAAATGATCCTAATTCGAATCTGTGCTTTTACATATTTCTGAGTAGGTACCATGCATGTGAGTCTTTGTATAACATCGTGAAAGTGGCCCGTGGGGGATGTTTACCACACTTTGAGCAGATCTTCGACGCGCTAGCCCGACTAGCGACCGATCCTGAGGCCTCCGTTCGTTCTGGGGCCGAGGCTCTAGACCGTTTGATGAAAGATATTGTTTCAGAGAGTCCTGCCTTCGACCTAGTAGCGTTCATGAATATGCTTCGCGAACGTATTATGGTGCAGAATACTGCAGCTCGACAATTTCTCGTTGGATGGGTACGAAACAATAAAAGAGAAACGTGCTATAAAATAAAGAATTTAGCAGCATAATAAACATTAATTGTCTAGATATTGTCAGTGACATAAACATATATCTTTGTACCGAGCGTTATTGTTCCCTTTCTTTACGAAAGCGTCGTTTTTTGCATTGTAGATTTCAGCCATGAATTCAATGCCTGATATTAACATGATGGTGTTCCTGCCAGATATTCTTCATGGTGTTTTCGAAATATTGGCTGACCCTGCGTTACAACGAAACTGTCAAAGTACACTTGACAGTTTCCTTGAAACCATAAAGAAAAATCCACAAGAAACCAGGTTTGATTAATTTAAATGACTCTACTACTTTTGACCCTAATTACAGTAAATAACTTCAATTCCTTTATCCCCCAGTGCACGCTGATAACGTGATATTACTGAAAAATAATTTTTAGATTTTTATTTTTTTCTACTAAACGTTTATTATGATTAAGTCAATATAAATAAACGCTATGATGACATAAAATTATGATTTCTTGCTTCATATTCAGTGTTGTTCATTTTACAGGTTCACAGACATGACAGCTATATTGATTGATCATTCTCAATCGAATGTTGAAGTTGTCCAACTAACAGCGCTTGTATGGATTGAACAATTCGTTATACTCAGCGGTAGAACGATACTGCCCCATACCTCCGGTATTCTTATGGCTGTTCTGCCGACTCTTGATAACCGATACGCCTTACACAACGGTAAGGACATATCATTGTTATATTTTGTTACCATCAATTTTTTATCCAGATTCCACGTAATTTTATTGCACACAGAATGTAACAAATTAGTTCATAGTTTTACTTGTTTTATATGGGATTATATATTTTTTGGTGATTCAGTTATGTATATACGTAAAAATATTGATGCATTTTTTCTTAATTTACACTCAAAAAATGCGAGTTAGTTATTTAATAGGTAGTAAATGATATAAGCGAAGACTAACTTATTTACCCGATAGTCGCGGATACCTGAGTCAATGCTCCCTCGCTGTAATGTTGCCCAGTGCATTCAGCTGCCTTTTGGACTACGTTTGCGATTAGCAATCCCACGTAACAGTGGTCCGCTGATTTCAAAATTCGACTCTGTTTCAGTTAGGTATAACAGTATTCAGGAAAACTGTTTTTAACTACGGGGCATGGCCTTTCAACACTAAAAAATTTTAAAGGATATTGGGCTGAATGTTTCAATGAATAAAAGCACCAGAGTTCTGTAGTGCGAGTAGTCACATTTGATACACGTTATAGTACGCACTTAAAGGGAGAGATCTATTCTCTCCTATTCCATTGGAATATCACGTATAGGAGAGAGAGTGTTTACTATGTAGGGGGAAAGGGTGCTTCAAAATGGATTATCGTCACCTTGTGCTGTTAGTTCAGGCTTATGGGGTGGTCAAAACTTATATTAGAGATAGTTTTATTTATGTCGCGTGCCTCACGTCATAATAAAAAAAATACATACGTGGGCTCTATTTTTGTTGGCTTTACTGTAACTAAATACAATACAATTAGCGCACATAGATAAAATTATTATGTTCTATACATAGCTAAGTACTTGAAGGTTGCAGAGACATTTAAGGAGATTTCACGGTGCGCGATGAATATTAACGAAAAGGTGCTCGAGCTTGTCGCAACAGAAGCCGAAGTGAAGGATGGTGGACTGCTGCCAGACCTCCGGTCGGTTATCGCTGCCCTTAGCAATTTCCTTGATCACCCCTCTACACGCACCCGTATGGCTGTACTTCGCTGGATTCTCCACCTATATCGGAAATTGCCGGCTGGTGTACAGGAACACATGGATACGGTATTCCCCATGTTACTCAATGTTCGTGTCTGATTCTGGGGCCGATAAGCATCTTTCTAATTTAAAGAAATTGACTGACAATGGATAGTATTATTGCTTGTTTGCCGTTAATTAATATCTTCTGTAGACGGTAGACAGATATCGGAAATTAAATGGCTGTTAATTTACAAAGTGATAAAAGCATTTATGACCTGCATTGCAAATAGACACAATAATTTACAAGAAATCTGTTGTTGTTGACATATTGTTTTTATATGTTATTTTTAGGTTTTATCAGACGAAGCCGACCAAGTTGTTCTATTAAATTTGGAAGTCTTGTCTGAAATTTCAAAGAAAGAATCTGGGAGCCAAACTAATAAGGACTACTTCCAACAGTTCGTTAATTCATTACTCGAGCTTTTCCGGAACGATCAAAAGTACGTATTTTAATGAAAAGCTTACTCTGAATCACACGTCTTAGACGTTTTACTATTTGCGAAGTAGTTCTTTCTCGAAGGAGACTATTCGTAAAGTTTTTCGAGATAAAAGGAAACAGATAATGATAACAGACAAATAAAGCCTGGTAAGATAAATAATCGTAAATAGTTATGTTTAATTTTTACATTTTCCAATGCTAAATAATTTTTTTTGTGCAGGAAATATAAAAGAGAGATTACCGCAAATTCAGCGTTTTTAAACCATCTGGATATCAGAGCGTTAACAATGTTCAGTAAACTGGGAAAAGAGGGTTTAAAAGAAACTATGAGTCGTTTGAGCCGCTCAAATTAGAATTATCCGCGAACTTGTCACAATTATAGATTGTTGGAGAGAAGGGGCTCGTTTATCATCCGACAGCTCTGCGTACTGCTGCCTGCCGAGGATATTTACCGCTCAATGGGAACGCTGCTAGAACAGGAGGACGACCTTCGCTTTAGCGAGCACATGGTTAAAACTCTCAACACCATTTTGCTGACAACATCCGAGCTGTTCCCGCTGAGAAATTCATTGAAGGATCTCAATACAGATGTATGTTGGATCACTCTTTCACGACAATAAGGCAATTAACTCTATATAAACACATCTACTTGTCGTCAACATACATTCGGGTATAAATATATAGCAAAAAAGACGGAGGCGTGTTCTTTTGTAAGCCATCAAGAGCGTTCCTATTGGGCGACGTAGGCCCTGTTTGCTGGACTGCATGTCTACATTTCAGTGAACGACCCATCTACCTCTTGTACGTCTAAAGATGTGAGAATGATGTGGGTGTAATTATTTTAGTATTTCTTTGCCATATGGATATCATAGGAGAACGTATAAGGGAGAGAGAGAAAGTTTGACCATATTTTATTTTACGTCAATGCGGTGGCCTGTCACGGTAGAGACAAAGTTGGGTAGAAATAGGGTGCTCTGCAGAGAGCTGCTAATATTTTTGTTATCTGTCTTCAATTTGATGCAATAATATTAATAAGTGAATAACAGTTTAGCAACAATGATCGTAATAATATGCAATTTGCTTATAGGAGCGGCGAAAACTCTTCGTCTGCCTGTATAGGGTGTGGTGCCATCACCCTTTGGCTGCAGTGTCATTATGCTTACTATCACAACATTATGCTCACGCTTGTGAACTACTACAACGGTTTGCTGACGTCGAGGTGACAGCTGATTTCCTTGTTGAAGTCGACAAGCTTATCCAACTTATTGAGTCACCGATTTTCACATGTGAGTTGCACTCCATTTACCAGTTCTTGAAGGTTTTGTTTGACTTGATTGAACTCATATTTTTTTGTGAATAGAAAATAATCCAGAAAAAAAAAACAACGGGAGATAAACTTCTTCAAATGCCCATAGTACGATCGTAATATCGATTTGAGGCTCCATGTTTCTACCGGCGTCATTTAAAGGTCTTCGTTGTTTTCAAAATAAGATAAAGCAAATATATTTATTGTTTATTTGATTGGTAGGCTTTATTCCTTGAACTCTGGTAATATTTACTTTTACGGAATATTTCAGTCCTTCGGCTACAGCTGTTAGAACCAGAGAAGAATCGGGAGCTGGTAAAGGCCCTTTATGGGCTTTTAATGCTGCTGCCTCAAAGCGAAGCGTTTCTATTGTTGCGAACTCGCCTTATGTGTATTCCAACCCATCACCTGCCCCCTTTAAATGAACAAAGGGAGCGAGAATCTACCGATAGGACTATCGCCAATGGGCCAAAAAGGTGACTAGTGATAATTTCAGCTAACAGTGTTCTATAATAAATCTCATAGATTCTAGGTTACGATTATTATTATTATTATATCGACCCTCACGAATATAATATTCCTTGATGTATATATAAGGTTCACCGTCAATAAAGCTATCTGAGGATATTCCTCCAGAGGGAATATTTTTCTAGAAATATATAAATGACATTTATCAACCGTTCAATTTACCGTAAAAAATGTCAGTCCTCGATGTTTGTTATTAAGTGCCTTCGTTGGTGTTATTTTCAGCGAAACTAGAGCCTCTTCACAAGTAGACTTCGGCGAACTTCTTGGAATTTTCGAAGAGATTCAGCGGCGAAAACGCGAAAGGGAGGCCAGGCGACAAAAGCACAAGCTCAGTCACAAAAATTTAATCCTGCAACAGCAGCAGGGTGACGAGTAATATGCCCACGCGGAATGGCTAACTAAGTTATCAAGCTGCTGTAAATATCTGTAACGCGACGCGGAAAGTTAATTCAGCTGCTGCCCGCTATTGCGTAAAACTTACGTAGTTGCGTCGAGTGGAGTCGGCCAGTTCTGTGCTTTACAGTTTTTCATAGCCTCTGCAAGAAATATATTGGTGAGCCTCGCTCACAGGATAGGACGAGACTTATCTTTTGGCTGGACCGAAATGAACTATGGCAGGGCCAAAAATGGCACCAAAGGAACGCACTTGGACATATGTGAACATAACAGTAAATTAGTATGCTCAATACAATACTCATAAATGGCAACACTACTAAAGATACAAGTTGTTATAGCAAAGTAAATTATTTTATTATGTCTACGGCAGAAAAATTATTTCCTGCACACCGAATAAAAGCAAAATACAAATAAAAAGCGCTGAATTGTTGTATGTAGGTAACCCCTTCTGCCTCAACCAAAAGCTTATCGTCTATATTTTTACTAGGTATCCTGTCCTGTAGACTATTATGTGTTTCATAGATACTGTTTGTCCGTTTGTATATATTCTAAGCTACATCGTAAGCAACACAAGGAGTATGTTTCCGATCTCGACGTTTTGGCTACAAAAGGTTACGCCCACTTGCCATACAAAGAAAGCTTTTTTTAAACAATTTCTCATTTACAGTTTCTTAGCCAACATTTTTCATTTCAACATAGGACCCTTAAACCAAATAATCTTTAGCTAAGTGGTGAGCTCATTAAACATAAGAATATAATATCAGAAGATACAGTTCTCTCAATTATAGTGGGTTGATAATAGCGGTACGTTTCAATGATTTTTCTACTTCTGACACGTTCAGCATCTACGCATAATAACTTCAGTTCCTAAGTTCACACCACCAAATTTTACAATGCCTTCACATTTGTTGCGGATCTATATCGAACGAAGTATGTTTAAATACTTTTAAAAGAATTGATGAATTCTTATATAAAGATTCATACGCTAACGTCACTGACGGGTGCTAATAGATTAAGTTGTACTGAAAAAACGATGTTCAGTCTCTTGATCACAGCATTTGATAGCATTTCATTTTAAGCGCGATTTACATGCATATGCTTGTTTTAAGCTGCTGTACCGGGCTGTTATATGCTTGCAATTGTCAGCAAAATGAGAAAAACAGTACGAGAGAATTATTGCACGTACATACATGTCCGGTAGTCGTGGATAGCCGCTAGTGTAAAGCTAAAAAAGGCATTTATTTTCTTTAAACTAGCGCACAGCGTTGATAGATGTAATTTGACTAATGACATATAGGCTATTCGTAAAAACCTCTTGACTCATTGTCTACGTTATGACGTAAATAAGCATGAGATAGCTAGGATGTTTTGTACTCATTCATTCCATAACCAGAATATATTCACTGATACATATATTTTGGGTTAGCTCCGCATTTGATGTATATTCCCACCAGAATCCACTTTTTTAGGGGTTACTTGAATAGATTGTATGAACTAGTTATAGCATGAGTCTAGTCGATCAGGATCAAACAAATAAGGCGAAATTGTTTTTGGGCAAACTGAATGAGCATTAAAAATAGGAAAAGGATCTCTCTACTTCAGTTCTCTGTATTCTTTTGTTGGTTAGTTGAAACTGCACCTTCAATTCGAATGTGCTACAATATTATTATGGCAAAAATCTTGAACGTTGAACACATTGCGTTTTCCATCAACCAAGCTTTTAATAATGGTCTCAGGTACAAGTATCCTCTTATTCTGTTGCATCTGGTAAAGTACGTCTAGTATATTGTGTCCACGTTTTGCTGTTACGACGAGCCGAAAGCCCTGACATAAGTCAAGTGTAATATTACGGAAGGGGCAACTCTGTCCGGAAAGATCTTTTAAGGCCGACGGTTCCCATTCTGCTGATGAAACTGTGTCATCTCGAAAAAGTTCTCGAAAGGAAAAAACGTTTTTTATCCCCTCGGCTAATTGCTTGATAATATGCTTAGGCATAAATATCTCTTGATTTCTTTCCTTCTCGTAGAGCATCTCTATAAGATTATGGCCAGGTTTAACTCTTACCATTAGTTCGAAATCTGCGGTTGACTGGAAGATAACATCATAAAACGGACAAAAACCTACGGCCGGATACTTGATGAGGGCTGGTTCGCGCTCTACATGACCAGGTCCATGATACTGGAAATAAGAGGCATCTCTAATGATGAACATGGTCCCGTTTCCATCGATCAGTTGTTTTATAATATCTTCAGAAACGGTTATTTCGCCATTTTTTTCCATCTCGTAAAGCACCTCCAACACATTTCGATCACCGCGTGCTTTTACTTTCAGCTCTGCGCCTTCAGCTATTTGAAACGTAACTTCATTAAAGGGACAAGTGAGCACTGGAGGATATTTCACAAGAGCCTGAGGGCGTGTATCAGCTTCGAAAAGCTCTTGAGAGGAGAAAACGTTTTTCTTTCCTTTCTCCAGTGCCTTAATAATATGCCTAGGCACAATGATCTCCTGGTTTTGTTCTTTCTCACAGAGCATTCTTAGAAGATTTTGACCCAGCCTAGCCTTTACCACAAGCTTAAAACCTTCAGTTGACTCAAGGGAAACAGTATCGAAGGGGCACTTCGGCGCTGTAGGGTATTTTCCAAGGGCCTGTTCGCCCTGTGTGCGTCCAATTATGTGAACTTGCATGCTTGAAAGACCGTATATGAAGAAACTGTTCTTTTTTCCATTGGCCAAATCCATAATAGTGTTAACAGACACAACAATCTCTTGATTTTTTTCTTTTTTGTAGAGTACTTCTAGGATACTCTGATTATGCTTTGCTTTTACAACCAGTTTGAAATTGTTAATTGACCTGAACACTACACTATCAAAGGGACAAACATGCACTGACGGATACTTCGTTAGGTTCGGTTCGCGCTTCTTGTGGCAAAGCGTGTCCTCTTTGAAATGCAGAAGACGCTGAAGTTGTTCGGTAAAACGGCCGGATTCGAGGCCTAGGTGCAAAGCATCTTGTAATATAGCAAAGTGAAGTTTTACTTCGGCTGCGATGCGCTCCGGCTTCAAGGGACAACGAAAAGTGGACTGAAAAGCGTTGCGAATCACTTCAATAGGCGTCTCGAATGGGACAACGTAGAGCATTGGAATAGCATCAAAGGCGTAGATTATACTGATTTGCACCAGCGATGAAGCCTGCGCGATGTCGTAACGATCTATAGTGAATAGGGCGAGACCTGGTAGTCGGGTGTAGGCTACATTTGCTTGAAACTGTGAGATGCCATCGTCCTCATACCGGTACTTCATTCCTTCAACGAGTGCTTTAACAATAGGTAACTTCTGATTCGCGTCGTCCAAATGCAGCTTCAGTAGTTTGGGATATGGTAGTTTGAAGATTCCGGTCGCTAGGAATGCTCTTTTTCGAAGAGCATATCTACTCAATAGGTAACGGGTAACACAAGGCAGCTCGTCGAGTTGCCGGCACGCTGCCTGAACAAGTTCGGGCGCCAGATGACATGGTCCGGTGACATCTTCGAAAACTTTGCCTGTCCAGTCGCGCCGAACAATCCGTCCGTATCGTTCTAAATACTCGCGTAACTCTTGCATCTGTAAGTCGTACGTACAAAATGCTAGTAATTTTGCATATAGTGGTGCAAGCGGATCCATTTTCTCAACCTGCAGTTGGCTCTCAGCAACTCCCGCGTCAGGCACGGTATTCGAGATTCCTTGTCCTGCCATTCCCGCTCTTCTTCCAATGGCTAGTTCTTTTTAGAACTAACTTGTTCGAACAGCACGGGAACAATATAGACAAATAGACACTATAGAGCAAAGCGGCAAGCCAATATTTATTCAGTTGTAATATCGTGGTGAAGACGAAACGCGCACCACTCACACGTGTCAAGCTAGATTCCGAAAGTCCAGATTTTCCTAGATTTCCAGAAGTTCTTTGTATTAGGTTAAATTCATTATATCACTTCTTTGGGGTTTTCTACTGACAGTTCACGTAATAGCGGATTAGAAAATAGAAAGAAAACTAAATGCTAGACATTTTAACATCCATATATTAGTAATGATCTGCATTACGTGTTTGCACGCCAAGTGAACACAGCCATTAAAATTTTTTTTTTTCTGAATTGACACTGATATTGATACTGGTGGCAATCGATTTTATTCGTAGCCCTTTTGCTTTTTTTTTTTTTCTAATTAATTCTAATGCGTTTATTCCCGAAATCGTATTGCCAGGTTCGAATATGTGTAACAGTGTTTCCGGTAACGCGAAAAAAACTGTTACATATATTCGCTGTTGCTTTCCTGTTTTAATATCGAGAATTAACAGAACTTTTGATTTTCAACCGAAAACCGTGTTTTGATTGTCTGCAGGTAGACTTCGCGCGAAACCTCTAATGTGTAATGGTGCCGCAGTAATAATTCTGAAGCGCACATTCTTACTGTCAAAAGTTATGTGGTTTCTCACGCTTCACGTCCGGCACCTAGGACGTTTAAGCGTTACTTTAGTTGGCTGGCTAACTTCCAGAACGTAACAAAGTATGTCTATGCCCAGATTCGTACCCAGAACATCATGTGCTTCTAAACGCTGGTAAACGCGTTACCCATAGTGCTATTACTCAAATCGGCCAAAAGTAGTGCGAATTGTTATAGAATTATTAAATCTAGTAGCTTCATTACATTATAAACAATAAGGTTCTATTTGCTAAAACGCCTCACAAAAACTGTTTGAGAAATTAGACGAAAACAATCTTCAAATGTTCTTCCTCTATAAAAACACGAGTACGTGACCGTTTAAATAGCCGGAGTCTGACATAAAATATATATGTCACAGCTTGGCGTCTGATGAACGGAACACACCCAATTTAGGTTCCCTGAAGAAGCTACCCACTTCCCAAATCAGCTAACCAACAGATGATATTGCTAGGTAGTCGAACGTGTACGTTATTTTTTATCGATAATGTGTGTGTTTCAGAACGAGTGAGCAGCACTTTACATTATATATGAGGCTTGGGGTAATCCAACCAGTGTTTTTCTATATGTAGCCGAAAGCTTCATTTTAAACTGTCACAAGAAATCTCTGACAACTGTGCGAAGCTCCAGCACTAAACAAAGCATGTCTACGTTTGGCTTCGAGCCTTGAACATGTCGTTAGGTCTAGGAAGTGAACATCTTGCTACTGCACCATCGTGGGAGCAATTCTCACAAAGTTGTTTTTTGTTTGAGAAGAAAAAGGATTAATGCATTCTGCAGGCCGGACTATATTGCTAAGGTATTTGTCTATTACTGTGGGACTCTCACCTACTAAACCCCAGACCCTGGTATGCTTACTCGGAGCTAATTCTGATATTACGTCGAATTCTAGCTTTAAAATTTGACTATTTGGACCATAATAAGTGCTTAGATTAGTTATACTAAGTACTCAGCATAGAGATTTTTAAAACATGAGCTTCTGATACTGCGCCGGAAGAGATCGATTTTTTCGATTTGCTATCGTGCTCAGAAGATTAGCATCCGATAAAGAAACTATCTGTTGTAAATTTCGAGTCTTTAGTTGCGGCTAACACAGTCGAAGAGGTTATTTAGCAATGTGTCGCAAACTACGTGTTTGAACAACGAAAGAAAGCAATAAACCGTATTAGATCGAGACTCACACGAGACACGAGGCACAACGGCTTCATATACTACCATACCTCAGGCCCTATCGAACACCGAAATCAAGTATCGATTGGGTCTCAATATGTCATGGGTTGTTATGCATAACAGTTGGCTTAATCAAGCACGTTCTATTTGAGGGCACGATTCTTCTCTGCAAGAGAGTGTAGAAGACAAAGAGATATTGAATAATATTGTTATTTCGTTGATTCGTAGCTAAGCGTTTATGTTACCGAGTCTTATCAATTCCCGCGAGTGGAAGTATGTGCTGAATGTATAATCATATTACGTTTCATTTCTATGGTTTTATTTATCGGTTCCCTAGGGTGCTGAATTGCCGTGAACAGAATGCTTATAGCATTAAAGCTGTGCTGCTATCAGAGATGGTGCGCTTGGCAGTGGCTTTATGAAGATGGATATTAGTTGAAGGAAGTAGGTGAGTTATTTCATATATACACTGTATATACAAAGCTAGAATGACTGGGGGTAGCGCTTGAACTGGTTACTGCTGCGCAATGGCTAGTGGAGATAACACCCGAATCAAAGCCTTTCAATAACGCCCATTCCATACACATTGTTTTTGGTATTACGATCCCTTTACTAGATTTCCGATTAAAATTTAGCAAAACGTATCATATCGACCTAATCATCCAAGTTGATTTTTTATTCCTGCAAAGTTTAGTTGCAACAACTTATTTTTTTTTTCTTAAAGAGTGTTTTAGCCTTTTAAGGAGCGCTTTTCATACATGCTTTTCTGTCCTTCTTTATTATCAAATTTCCTTTAACGACGATTTTTTTTGTTTTATCGCTGCAACGGACTCACAGCAATATGAAGGGCAATTTCGAATATAAAAAACAGAAACGTCCTAAATAGACTTGTTTCACTCGAATTATCCTGTTTTTGGTAAAGCTGTCCTATCGGACATCTTCTACAGCGATTCAATATACAATTTTTATGTAGAGCGAAAAATGCGCTCTACATTTTTTTTCGCTATACATGAAAATTTGCTCCGAAACTTTCGTTTTTCGACCTTTTTATCCATTTAAGCACATTGTTGGATATTACTGGAACCGATAAACTCAATCATGCTATGATATGTTGGAAACACCGAAAAAAACATACATATAGAGGCTACGCGCTTGAGCGTGTGTATTGCATCCAAGAAGGACAAGAGGAAGAAGAAGGAGTCAAAGGCTATGAAGCACTCTACGCAAAAGGTAGGCAAAAAGCCAAAAATGCCCAATGATCAGCTAAAAACAAGCTGGATCATTACAGTTCACCTCAGGCGACCGTTACTATTCTACGTGCATAAATTTGTTCATGGGCCACTTTGCAACAACTCACGCGCGTGAGAGCTTCAATGTTCGTAACTTCAGTTTACGGAAAAATTGTGCATAGCTACACAGCTGAGAGCAGTGCGTTGTACTACATAAATCGTATTGCCTGAATTGTTACAGCTAATTACGTACCATCCTTAAGAATTCATCAGTTACCTTAGTATTAGTTTTCATAGTAGTCAAAGATGAAGCCAGCTGTTACAAAGGAAAATCATTGTAGCTATAATAATGTTGTAGTCGTTTATTTACACGCGAGTATACACATGGCTTTGGGTTTTTTATAGTTGAGGCACCAATTCGATTTACGTTTGACGAGTGATTTGTGTTCGTCGTTGACGGCGACGGCTTGTCATCGTCATTTTCACTTATATTTTATTCTTATTGGTACCTTCATATCGTCGTTGTGATTGTGTTCTACTCTGATGATTATTTGCAGAATGCCACCGTTGTCTCCTTTCCACTGATCCACCAGCAGGAATCATTACCTCTATTATATCTTATAATTCATAGGTCGTAGCTGTTTTTGTAGTGTTAGCATCTCCTTCGCCTGGATTTTGATTGAAAGCGCCAACAGCCGTTAACCTTCAACGGTTAGTTGTCTGTGGGCTATCAAGCTAGTGTTTACCACCCATGATGTCCATGATGGTGCTTTACGTAAACGGGCTCAGGTACGATGACGGGTTTCTTGACAACGACTTGCTTGTAGACCGGCACCTTAACGGGCACCTCAACGGGCTGCGGGACAGGGATAACCTTGTGGACCGGGACAGGAACATATTTCGGCACCTTTACGGGAACTGGGACGGGCTTGTGTACCGGAACGGGAACATGCTTATAGACGGCATAGGGGGCGTCCTTGTAGACAGGAACAGGCACTGGCACAGGAACATGCTTAGGCACAGGATAAGGCTTAGGGACTGGATATGGCTTAGGAACATGCACGATCTGTGGAATCTTCTTAACAACAGGCACCTTTACAGGCACCGGATAAGGTTTCGGCACATGGACCGTATGGGGCACAGGGACGACTTTGTGTACGGGGTAAGGTTTAGGAACGGGCACAGGATATGGCTGGGGTACCGCCTTGGTGATAATCTTCGTGATGTCCTTTACGTAGCCATGTTCGTGGTGTCCTTCACCACTTCCGTCAAAACCACCGAAATCACCTCCGTATCCTCCAAGATCCCCACCATAATGTTCTCCGGCCTGGACAGCCACGAACAGACAGCTCGCCACTACTATGAATCCACGCATCATGTGTAGCCTAGCCTGATCACTGAGTGTTTGTGGTTGTATTGCGTTGTGCTACGTGGCTTTATAGCTGCTGCTCTATCCCCCATCGCCCACCTCTCAAGATACACAGAACACCGGACGCCGTCAATGGCAGTAAGGGCAGCGCAGAAAGACCGCAAAGCCCCAGAACGGTTCGTTCCTTGCCGTAATTTGTGACCAGGGGGGCGCCCCTGCGGCTGCCTGCAACAGAACAGTCAACTGAAGGGCTTCCCCTTTCCCTCGACCCCCTATCGACGACGCCAGAACAACTGTTATGACTGCGAGAACTGCTGTTTCTGCTGTTGCTTGCTAGAATTACTACGACACGAATGGCTACGGAGGCTGCAGTAGCAGCGGCGACAATCGACGATTATATCGGCAAATCCAGATCGTGGTAGCGATGATGATGATGATGAGTGTGTTTGTGGTGCGCCTTCGTCCGGGCCGCGGCCAAAATACTTTTCAGCTTCTACCATTAGCATTATATCGCCTACAAACAGCAATGACGACGATGATTATCATGACGCTAGCCATGGCGCTGTTTAGTGACGGGTAACGCGTGGTTCATTCGCGAGCGACTGTCTCAATCCAGTTTGGTTCGCACGGTAAACGCCAGGAGAGTTGCGGTCTACTTGCTCAATTTCAGGTGACCAATCGGCGTTTCTGGCGCCCTGGTTCAGATCCGTCTCGTCTCCTTTTTTCCCCCAAGCGTCAACGACTAAGTAACAATAATTTAGCTGTAATTCTATAGCAAAAACACTATTTCAAGGCAGGGCAGAATTGTTTGTTTGCTTTTTCGCAAAAGCAGGCATAAATAGATCTTCATGAGTTGTTCATGAAAAGTGCGAGACTTATCATTAATCGATAGTCCACAAGGTACTGCGATTACCTCGTCAGAAATGAACGGAAAACCGATAGCTAGGGCTAAGAGAGTTTATGAAAATATTGGAATAAATCAATAAGTAAAAAATTTTACGCTACAGAAATGCTTTTAACGGGGCGTCCATTCAGTGTTCGCACCTGTAAAACACCCAAGTATCATTGAAGGCCACAACTTTTGCAGTCGAAAGCGTTTCATGGTAACGTGTAGAGGCATAGTTGTACCAAAAAAGACCTCTTGGATTGTACCTTCTAGTTCCGTGCCGTCCTGCCAACGAGACAACGTGAAATCTTCGGGCATAGTACGGAAGCATGTGCTGCGTCCTAAACTGTACAAACGTCTATGATTGATTATCTTCTATATCACAAGATATTCGGGAGTACAAGTCTCTCAAAATACCATCGAAAAAAAACTCAGCAAGCCAAGCTGGCCATTTGTAAGCTGCTCCTAAATGCTGTTACTAATACATTGAAAGTGAACGTTCAACGTAATTTTCAAATATAATCCTGCGAATGTACCTACATGTATCATAGGTCAGCGTCTGCACAAACCATATATCATAGATAGAAGCAGTGACAAATACTTCGTTCGATGATACCTTATTAGTTGCAGCATAATGGAATAGTTTCAAATTTACAGTAAACACAAAGCGTTGAATAGACGGCAGGATTTAAGATGAAATTCGTCGACCTCGAGAGATCTAAGTAAGCGACTCCACTAAGGGTACTCTATTTAGCTTCGGTATAGACGAACGTTCAAAGCGTTACTACGACAGCTAAACGTGCCCTGTTACATTGAATACTATCAATGAACTTGGATACCGAGTAGTACTAAATGCGTGTTTCGTCAAGTAGTACATTTTACTGGATAGGGGTTTTTGATTAAGATGCGTCCACGCTAATAAATGACAACTATTATAAATCGATAATTAAGCGGTTAGCTGCTACACTGTATCGGCGTCATAATATGAAATTCGACAAAGGATCGAACGTAGCCAAAACTTTTCTAATATTTCGAAAATATTCTACTTTTTCAGCCTATTACATAATTTATCTCTCTAGCAATAGAAAGAGGCTCTAGTGATTGGTCGCTTCTACAAAGAAAATCATCATGGAGACGGCTTTAATAATGCGCTATTTAAAAGTTAACAAAATTACATAACTTCACTATGAAGCCGGCTGCGGGCTCACTGTTAAGCACTGCTATCGTATTATCAACTATTCAGCGCCAAAAAAAGTCCAATTGTTATTAATCTGATTTTTTTTTTTTATCAAGTAGGACATTTGATAGTGTAAAAAACTATGAAATACTCCTTTATTTATCATAGATATATTATTCTCATTTTGTTTTCAGTGTGCACTAAATAGTCCGTACCTACCCGTAGGAATACCTACCTGTTTCTTTACGACCCTCTTTTATGTACTACGTATCATCACATGTATTTTTCACGTATTCTTAGAGCTAACATCGTTTTTATAGACGATACCGTACGACTTTGCAAAACGAAAGCAAAAATACGCCATTCCGAAATCGCCAAAGGTGGTCACACACAATCAAAAATAAAGATAGCGTATATTTTTCATAGTATTTTTAGGAGCCCATATCTCTCTCTGTAATGGTAGCTGCTTTGAGTTTTGTACAACAATACCGCTAGTTATTTTTTATGTATGTATGTACACTAAAAGCATATATATATATATATATATATATCTGTAGCCATGTGTATGAGCGTTTAACTGAGTAGATTTTAGTGGTTTTTTCCTTAACCGTCTCGTATCTTGCCAAGCCGATACGTATTTAGGTATTTTCGACCGAGATTGTGCCCGGGTCATGAATGGGGCTGCGACTATTTTTCACCGGCTATTTTAATTAAACAATAGCCATTAGTGCTGCTCAGCGAACATAGCCGTCTTCGGTACACCTGTACTAGCGCGTATGGGCATATACACGCCTTGACCTAATCTGCTTCGTATTGTGGGATTTTAGTGGTTGTTTCCAACAGAAGTTCGATATTTATTGGGTATTGTATTCTTCCAGCTATTTTTACATCTTTCATATAACATCGCTGTTAACTGCTCATTCTCAGCTATACTTGATACGTTTACACACTACTTTTACCTTGGAATAGAACCATTTTAATCTCTAAAACTATAAAAGCTATAAAATCGCTAGGACAAACAACACTAATGCTAGCGTCGTTCGTAGGCAATTAGTACAAATTAATGACGCAGATGAGCCAACACTTTCATAATTTCGCTGAAGCCGACTGCTGGCGAAAGAATGGGGTCGATTCGAGCGACCCGAATTCGGACTTCGATCCCTGCCGCTGGATGTCTGACTAACCGTTCCTGACACTGACGAATAATCCATTGATGATCCAAACAGTGAAGATCCGGCTCGTCCGATGTTGGATGATGATGACGACGAGATAAAACCAGAACTGCCCAATGAGCGGTTATGGTTTGTGGACGATGACATCTTGGACTTCCGTGACTGATCACCTGCAAAGTCCGCATGAGCCCCTAGCCTTCTGTTGCGATCCCCAGAACCATTCGCCGGTGATCCTGATGAATCTGACGAAAATGAAGAGCCCCAAGGTGATCCAGATGATGGAGAAACCGACCCGGGTGAACCTGAGGCTCTTATAAAACCCTCCATAAAATCGCTCCTAAGATCGTGCTGGTCAGAAGAGGTCATCGTAACGGTAGGAAATGTGGAACGCACGACGGTTGGAGGCAGCATATCGGTGTGTGAAGGGGCCAGTGTCGAAGGGACCGCATCTGTGAGGCTCTCGTTGAACACGACCCTTCCACGAGATTTTGGGCATTCATAAGAAAGCCTGCAAAGCAGTATTAATTAGCCGTACTGGTATAATATATGTGGTTGAAGATTGTCGTCCTTAAAATTAGGTACTTAGTCGAATAACGTATATTTCTACTTATAAGTACAGGAAACTAAATTATCAGCTCAAATAGATTTGCAGGAAAACCGATATCTCCCGTGTTTTCTAAAATCAAGCTTGAGACCAGCAGCTATTAGTAGAGTTAACTTTTATTCGACCGACGTGGTACTACTCACCATCCACAGAATTTCAGACAAAAAGCTAAAGAGTCGCGTGATAAAATTATCCTCAGTATTACATTAGAAATATTTACAAGCCCGTAGTGTTAAGTGGAAAAATAGCACTCCTATTTAAATGTGATCGGTGTGCCTTGTTCACGCACTCGGAAATAACGTCTTTTCTGTAACACAACAAAGCACGCATTGATAAAACGAAGGGGACTAACTTAATTGTATTTCTAGAACCCCTATTCTATTGTAGACTAGGAACGTTATGCTAAACATTCTGGAAAGTCTTGCACGATAGCGACAACTTAAATCAGTAGACTGCAAAGTCTTCGTGTTCACATAATATGACGAAGTAAGTTATACAGGCCTCACTTCGGCTTGCCTTGTTAATTTTCAATGGTCATGTTAAAGGAGGTCTCAATAGATAAGATCTTAAACTGGCTCAAAGCTTAAGTTGAAGATTTGTCAAGTATTATAAAAAAAAAAACAACACGTTAGCAAAATATGCCTAGTGACATATTTACCTCACTGGCAAATTTAATAAACAGCATAGACGTCCGAAAAGAATCCAAACGTTTTATTGTTCGCGTGGTGTTCAGTCGTTGTCTTAAGCAGGGGCTCAAAGGAAAGGTCCACCATCTAACGTCAGTGCATCTGTCAGTTTCTGTGCAAGCATAACGTGACTACGTATTGATCGTTGTAACCCGTTCTTATTTCTATTTGGCGAAGATCATGCGGATACCGGAAACTGTTCTTATAACTCTTTGTGTCATGTGGCCACTATCTTCGTGATAGGAAAAGCCCATTTCTTATATCAGCAGAGTGTGTCACGTGCATGGTTCATTGAAAGCTATCTTTTGATCTAAACTTTAAACGCAATCAGCGTTCGCACCTGTGAACAAATTAAAGAATGGTAAAATCAAATGTGCTTTCCCTATTTAGGTACATGATAAGATACAATGTATTTGAAGCTGCATAAAACTAAGCGCTGGACAAGAGGGTTTATTGGTTTTATTTATAATGAATATATGACGGAAAATATTGTGGACTCGACTAAGCACATGTTGCCCATGTAGTAACAATAAAACAGGTATAAACTACCAAGCTAGTTTTTATTTCATATATATATATATATATATATAGACCCTAAGTTACGAAGTTTTAGTTCCACGGGATGAAAGGAAAGGGGCGAAAATGGCTTCAAAACGCTCACATGGCAATGTTAAGAAGACAAAACGAGCGCCGAATATACGTAACTATGAGATAATTCTGTTTCTATCATACGTGAAACTCACTTCTTTGTTACCCAATATCAGAAAGTATTGCTTCGCTTTTGCCTTACGGGTCAGCTAGCTAAATAATAACTATTGGTCGCGTACAATACGGACACACAATAGCCGATTACTCAATAAATAGAAAAAAAAAACAGTGTTTTGTGTCTATGTGCGTGACTATATGAAGTTCCATGCACACACTATTTGTCCTATTCAACTGTTTAACCGCATTACCTTCAGTGGCATACGATACTGTGTCTCCTAATCAACCTCGAAAATTTACTTTAGTCATTGAACATTTACGGCTGACGCAAGAAATAATATCGACTCATAGTCAATCATAAAAATTCAACTATTGCCGCTGTAAGTCACCTAAATCGACAAGCTACTCTAATTAACCAAGCGGCTATCGGTCCGAAGGAACGTTTTTCTTCGAACTAAAAAGATTTCAGCTTTGTTTTTAGCTGCAAGTTAACTATCCTATAGGAACGCGTTGGGTAAATGAAAGATATCAGTTAGCCTAACAACTTGGCAACACTCTTGAAACAGATTTCGCAAATTAATTGAAACATTCTCGTAAACATATTATGCTGCATCTACGTTTCAATTCCGTCGAAAGAAAAAAGTTGTAGATTACTTACTACAAACAAATCGCTTTTATGCGACGCCATCTTTCTTTGCTTTCGCTTCATAATAGAGACAACGAATATTTTACCCATGCCTTACTTTGTCCGCAATGAGAACGAAGAATCGCATCGTTTGACTTCGTCTTTCTTTTAGGATAATGCTTTCGAGAGCTATTAAGCGATGTCAGCGCCCTCTACAATTCGCTGAACAACTTACTTCGAAGCTTACGAATCTTAGCAATTATTAATTAAGTTAATTGAAACAAAGCTTCGACTAGTGGCGATCCGTAAATCTATAAAATGTTTGCCCCAAGAGTCAATTGTCCAAATTCTTTGTTAAAACGTCAGTAGAAAATCCATTACTATTTAGCCTAGGGTAAAGAAAAAATGCAGATATTATTGAGGTGTCATTCTGATAAAATCTTTCAGCACTTCAACTTTTAACATTCTTACTTGGAACAAGCTTTGGCAGCCTGCCAGCTACTCAGTATGAATAATCTTAATTGTTGTTTGCTAAATCTCGTCATTGCATAAGGTGTTGCATGGCGTAGCAGAGGCAAATAGGAGACACCCTTATGCAACCGCAAGACGATATAGTAAATGAGTAAAAGAACTAATAAAACATTATTAGAACGACGTATGTGCTTGCTGGCCACATAGAAAACACGCAGGTGAATCTATTTTTAATGACTCAAATCATTGCTCCTAAAGTCCTCAGAATGGTTTGTTTCATCGACAGACATGAATAAGGCCTATGCGCTTTCGTGCATAACGAAGGCGAGATTTCATAGACTTACAAAATGTGTTACTATAGATTACGGACCCAGATACCGCATGGCGAGCGACGCTTCACCGCAGCGTCTTGATGGGCATTGAATTGAAGCTATTGTTACAATCCACGATTTTCTAGATAAGTAAGGCGTTCTGCACTGCAAGCGATACCAGATAGGTTTTTCCAGGTGCGAGGTGCTAACTATCTGAGAATACAGGGTGTCCCAACTTATGCATACATAACCTGAATAATTACAGTTTGGATTTCTATTCGCATATAATGAATATTTATGTTTTAAAGGCATGTGAAAAAAAGTACAACGTTCAATTGAATCAATGAGAATCTGATAGCAACAATAAAATGTACCATAGATTCTTAAAATTCTGCAGAAAAAGTGCTGTTCTGCCTCGCGCACTAATTAACAGCCTTTAGGACAGTGTCAAATAATCTTCGACCTCCAGTGCCGTTAGTTTACCGCTGTATTGTTGGTCTTTAACGTATCTTCGTAAGAAAAAGTTCGTTGGCGTCAAGTCTAAACAATGGGCAAGGCGGGACTCCTTCGTACAACTCATTCATTTAGAAAATGGTCATTAAGAGAAAATTTTATGTCGATGTTAATATGCGACTACTGTTTTCTGTTAAATATAAAATTTGCTAGTAAATTCAAGCAGTCAGTGATGGTACGGTCAAGGAAGAACGGCTCAATTATAACGCATACATTTTTAGCACACTTCGTAGCTTTGCTAAACCATGCTTCCCGTTCTTGTTCGCTTGATCATCAATTCAATTGAATCACAAATGATGATTTGATAGACTTTATGCTGCTCGATATATCTATTGAAATGTTTTCTAATAATCGTATCGCTCTCTTATACTGAGCGGATATAAGTAAGTTTAATCAAATAGTTCCAAGTTTCAATGCCAGTTGCGCAGCACTACAGTATAATACCTTCAAACGGCCTTTGACTTATGAGAACAACATTAGACAGCTTTACAAATCAATATTATACCTATACAAATCAAGAGTTAACAAATATTTTCGCAATATAGTGCCGAGCATAAGTATTTTGTGGCACCGCCTCTTATAGCGGTAACCGACTGGCACCACTCTTCGAAGTATGATTCTCGTACAGCTTTTCGCTGTCCCCGCTGAGTGCACCCCGTTGCCACACAGCAATGATTCTTCTGTGAGGATAATGTTACGTTGGTTAGTTTTTGGTCTTCCTAAGGCCGCGATCTTCCAAACATTCTCTATAGGATCAAGGTCTGCCGAATCAGCAGGCCACGATAGCACGTGAAAATCATTGGCAAATAATAGCCGAGAGATACTTTGAGCTCGGTGGCGAGGCGCCCCGTCATGCACGAAGACGTAGTCATCGCATCTTGGTCTCGATAACTCCAGCATGTTTCTGCTCCCTTCTACTATTGTGAGAAATGTATCACCGTATTGCGTTTGGCAAAGGTAGACCACACCGTAACACTGATGAACGTTCGATCTTCGGCACGGCGGAAAATCGTTCCTCAACACGCGGAAAGCCGTAACAGGCTTCTCCTCGAAAATCTCGAAACGAGATATGTCTGAAGAATAAACCTTGTTCTAATAGTCAATGGTGCAATATTCTACTTGGTTTTTCTAGTGGACATGGGCTCGTTTCACTCGAGTATTGCACCGAAGTTTCTTGACAGATCTGGTGCTCTTGGAACCAACATATTTGTGGTGGTGACGAAGCGTAATTTCCAAGACAGCAAATTTACAGTTTTTAATCTACTCTGGAGAACAATATACGAGACAAAGCTATCTTACGGGGTTCGCCAATAACCACACGGTTCCCCCGCTCCGTGATACACCTCTTTCGATTCCAATTACCGACTTTAGGCGGCGACAATTGGTGATTTTTGCTCACCTTCCTAGCGACATTGACGACTGCAAGTTGAGAAGCATTTCGGCAGTTTTGCGCTATATACATTTGTTTTGCATAACCAATTAGTTAACCAGTGTTTTTGCTCGTCATTAACATCCGTTATCTTTTCCTACATTTCGATGTTTTACGTACGGAACCACACATAGTCACCAGAAACCCCCAAACCAGCCAAGCTTACTCAAACCGGTAGTTATTCAGCGTCGACCAGAGCCGCGCCATCATCTGAGTGGCTGAGGAAGCCGTTACGTGATACCGGACCCCCCTAATGTAAAAGTTAATTACAACAAGCTATCACGCCTGTGATCGCTGAAATACGAAGTAGTTTTGTCAGCGGTTTGAAAATGCTGAAATTTGCTAACCTTTTATCAACCTGTAAAGTACCAGTATAAAGCAGAATAATGCTACTTTCGTAAGTTAAAATCACAGACAATTGAACATTGTAGCTATTCGATTGAAGTTATTTGAATCTATTTGTACCATTTATCATGTTACCATGTATGAAATTTTGTACCATTAAACGCTCACGTTCGACAATGTCGAGTATCATAGTATGATTGAATAGATGCCAACAACATAAAAACAGTTGTATTTGAATGATGAACTCATGAGTTTATCGTACGTCAACTTCACCACGTCATGCTTCAGTTTTGAAGTTCATTCATCGGAAAGTACACGATGCTCTTGTAACCAGCACATATATGTATATACAGTACAATGATCGATGGTAGTTGAGAGGCTGTTTTCGTCCGAAGGTATGATTTCAGACTGCATGTCGAGGAATGTGAAGCTTGAAGCGTGCTCAGAGGCCGATTTTTTATAGGTATAGCGGCTTTATGTAATCGTTCGGCGAGACCAAACAATCTATTTAGTTATATTTATTTAATTATATAACTATCATTTTATTTAATCATGTCGACGCAGACAGTAATATATCGAAATTTCCGTGTCCATATTTCGAAGTGTGTTCTTTGCCGGTCGCATATTTGTGAGTAGCGGTAAGAATAGCTAAAATAGCTTTCGATGATATTTCTGAAATTTAAAAACTTACAATTTCCCAGTATAAATATGTATTATATATATTGCTTGAGAAGTCTAACAGTTTGCTATTGTTATTGCAATGCGATTTTTGCAAAATATGCCTTGTGTTGTATGGCATATCTTTTGAAATTGAGCATTCCCAAAAAGGGACTTCAATACGTATTTAACTTAGACAAATAGTAACAACTTTAGCACTCTTTAGCCTGATGAGGCATAATCCTATTTAGCAAAATAGCTGAGCCTACTCTTTTGTTGAGGATCACATACAGGTCAACTCACGTCACATCTACCTGTTGCCTATTCACTGCACTGTCGTATGTCGGTAAATCGCGCACTCGATCTAACCCTCTCCTGCTTGCCCTTGTTGCCACGACCAGTGGTCATTACCACAGTATATAGACAGCACATTCTAGGAATTACATTTTATGACGCGGCTCTACACGGTATCCTTATCTAGAATATCGTTGTACGTTAGTTATGAGCCGGTCGATATTTCCGGACGAACGACATAATAGTGGATAAGAGGACAGAGGTTTATAATAAAAGGGTAAAATTATGTCCAAGCAGTAGCATTGGTAGCCGCAAGGCTTCTGGCCCTGACAGCAACAACGGCAACGCTCGTATGGGTTATAGGTCTTTTCGCACTTGGCAACATAGTGCCTCTGGGCAAAGAAATGTTTACGGCATAGATACAATTTTACCATGTCCTGCGATGTGGTAGTAGTAAGGGAAAGGATCACCAACTTTTCATATAAGACCCAAACTTTGTTGGCCGCTGATAATTGAAGTCCGACTCTTGGCTTCTGCGTATCTGGCTGTTGTGCACGCGTAAATTCCCCATTTGTTGTTAGTAGCTGTAGTCAATTTCGCTCGTTATTTTAACTTATGGGCTAGGCTCTTGGCCACCGTCGGGCTCCTGTGAGGCCAGTAAATTTCTCAATTTTCGACAAGTTGAGATTCGATGTAATGCAATGCGCGCATTTCGTCAAGCGCGAGCAATTAGCTAGTAGTGCTTCTTAGCTTTCTGTCCCAGCGCACTCACACGCACAGGCACGCGTCTTATGCCCGTCGATTCGTAGCTGCTTCCAGGACCGTCGTCACAACTTCTGTAGATCCAAAGTGCCTAACCATGTGAACTAGTAAATGCGGCAACTACCACTGCTTTTGTCTTTCACCTGCCCCGTTGGCGCGTTTCAGTTCCACTGCCCCCTTGGTGCGTTCTATCCCAATTTACGATCGAAATGGTACGGCGTAAAAGACTGCTATCGTTTTTCGCGCCGGCCGCAGAAGTCCAGTGGCGAAAATGTATTGACTGGGACGGCCATCCGTTGATGTGGGTTGCTACAGAATGTAGAAACACAGCACAGACAAATAAGCTCGCGCCATGTCGAACGCTTTCGATTCTGTTTCACTACTGCGGTAGATAATCGAAACATTACCATCCGTCTGCAGACCACTCCATCTAGGAACAGACACTTGCAACTGTTTTCCATGACATGCAATTTACAATATGGCTAACAAATGATCCCAGAGAAACCACAGGCATTGTGGGGGGCGCTGTGACGAACAGTTGTCAACATTAACGTGGCCGCCGTTCAATTATTTCCAGCTATAACAAGACAGTAACGATCTCTAATTGCAGCCCAATCAGAGGCTAGGCTGTTTAGGAAGATGCTAAGCACAGCCTGAAGTATTTTTCTAGCGTCGGAAGAACCGGGCTGGGCGTTAAACAATGGCGTACGACCATGATAAAAGTTGATGATAAAATACAACTGCCAGTGAACATTCAGTTGCTGGCGTTTTTCTTCTGCCGTTATCAATCGGATTGCGGGTCTGGGAACAATCGCGGACATCTGCAAATTCTGTAATTCATTTGTAAAACCGCGGCTGGTTAAAGGTAAGGCCTATCAATGAACCTTTTCCTTATCATCATCATCTTTTACTTGACTATTCTCTCGGAATATACGAAGTAATGCACTTATTTGGTCATACATAACTCGCTATCTGTCCTAGTGTGACAACTTTGTCTGTATAGCACGAGCAATAAGTTTTGCTATTATTAAGGATACTGAACCTAGTATTTTCCGGTGTCTGGACGATTTTGATAGTTTGTTGCAGCTGTTGTCATTAGCATAAAGCGTAATTTAAGGGTATAAAGGGTAAAGTAAATTACAGAAATCGTGTTTCCTTCAAAAGCCACACAGCATTTACCCGTCTTATTATATAGAGTTCTAAGGACGAAATTTCATTTGCAAACGCATTCGTTTACTAACCGAGTCTTTAAATCGGCCATCTACAACGACGGGTATTTCTTAATCTAGCACCTTCCAATGTGCTTTACCGACCTCACACGTGTTCTGGCACTATCTGCTGTCCGCAAATGTTCAACGCTATTAAGATATTGTTTACTGATGTTCAAACAGCATAGAACGTATCTTTCACTTGATTTTCTAGTGTCGGTTCGATCATCACATTGAACACAGTCGTGTACAATACTCGGGTCTATGTTGGCTTCCCTTTACGCTTATCGTTTTGGACACCTGATCGGGGAAATGGTTGAGGCGGGCGCTAGATCAGCCAACAACGCCTCCGAGATGGCGTGAGCGGAAGGGCAAACCGTCGAATAGACGGTTGTGTTTCTAATAGAGCTACAAAAGGTCTCCATAGACCCTGATGCACGTGTGCAAAGCCAGATCGGGGGGTCGTAGCCCACGCTCACGGCCTGTTCACCTTTCTCTTCGCCTTCGTAGCCTCACTCCTCGTTCATTCTTTAGTTCCCTGTTTCATCTGTAGCAAACCCGCGGTAGCCTAAACCCTGATATGTTAAAACGTGCGGATGCCTCTTTTGAGTACTAGCACTCATCTAATGCCCTGAAGGCACAGCGGTCATGTGGCATATATTTATGTGTCACTCTGTAAATTCTCTGTAAAATGTGATATCAGTATATTTTTGGACCGCAGTAAAAATTCATGGATGGGTCGAATTCTGCTTGAGAAAAAGAGCTGTGTAACAGTCCTTTTAGCAACTGAAATTCAGCTAAGAACCGAATGTAATGTTATTCTTTTCACATGGGCAGTTATACGAGGAAAGAAAACCCATTTTATTTCAGTTGTCACCAAGAAGGATTCTTGGCCTTGCTCGTGCTTTCCTAACGAAGACACTAATAACATTAAACAGACGCTTTACAAAATTAAACGGAATAGATAGACGCTTACGAAAATGACTTGCTGGAACAGCGGTGAATTAAGAAATCCATAGAATGATCCATAATTGTGCGCGCGCGGGAACCGCAAAGCCGAAGAAGTGGTTCACTTACGCAGCTTCTGAATTTTGAATATGAGCTGAAAATTATAGAAACGTTAAATCGTATTAGAGGCAATTCTGTTGTTAGTAGATCAAACCGTACCTCGATATAAATATCATCTTACTATTGTAACCTAAAATGGCTACCTTTCTCATGCAGTCCTTGCTCCCTAATGCAAAAGAAAATGTTTCATATCACGAGAGCAACACGATACGGGTAATCTTCCGGGAGTACAATATTTAGTGAGTAAAAATGTGTAATCCAATGTAATTACTGGGTAGACCCAGTCAGCTTCCATTCGTGGTAGACGATGGACGACGAGCTTTTAACGAATGTAGATGTCGCCGTAAACTAATAGAACAATCCGGGCCTGGTACGGATGCATAAGGCATTTTGCAGTTATTTTTTCTATGGAAAAATATCCCTCTCTTATGCCGATTGGACCTTTGTCGCGTTGCATGCTCATTGCTACATATGCCTAGGCTAGGTTGCAACACTCGACTGCTATTAACGGATGATTTGGGCCAGCTCTCAGTGCGCCTAAGCCTGTTAGAAAGCCATTATCGCCTAAGAAAACAGCTTTGAAGAGCTATACTTATTCGTAGACTGTCCTTAAATGCTTAATTGGCCTTGGGTTTTTTCTTAACAAGATTAGATCTAAGACGAATAAGCAGCAGGCTGAACATGGTCGATTTTTAAGATCGATTAATGTTTCAGAAACACGTTTTCTCTGCGCATAATAATACCAAAGTAAAATAATTACGCAATGCTATTAAACAGACAGACAATTAGTAATGAAATCGGACTATATTTACTGCGAGTTCTATTGCCAGCTTCTAAAATTATGTATAATCTACGAAACAAAGCTCACGGGGCTTACTTTGTTTCCTTTTAATTATCTGAACGGGAGCTAAACTAACAGGCGCTTTGTTTTGCCTTCATTATTGCGGAAAGTAACGGACGACAAATGCAGTGCTATTTTCAAAATTAGGGTCACCACATCGAAGCAGAGGTTGGAAACTTCATTTCGTAACGGTCCCATTTAGACGAAGCGCGGCCTTGAGTTCATATTAACTTCGAGGTCTCACGTCATTGGGGAGTGACCTTGCGACCCAAGGACCCCATATACTCGACCAGAATAAGCCACGGTGCTTTAAAGGGACTCGCTAATGCGAGCAGTACGGCCCTACTTTTTCTAGTCACCTTAACCGAACTAGAATAGTTCTGTAATTTAAACGCAGCTCAAGCGTGAACCCATACTTGTAGATATTTGATGTCCGAAAAGCAAACGAAAGATTTGCGAGACGGGATAATTGTACAGACTTGAATTATGGTTATGATAATTGAACGAACGAGCCTCATCTAGTAATTTGCTCGTATTGATGACGCCCAACTCCGATAGTATATCTACTAGTGAGCACTGAGACTCCTCGTCGTGTTCCATATCTGTACACTCATGTACCTCGTGCAAGCTGCCACCGTCGTTCTTCATATTTGCTCTCGAATAGATTTTGATTATAGTGAGATCCCAATACCAGAAGATCCGAACGAGCGTCTGTGGTTTAACGAAATACAACGATACCGAACCATGTACATTGAACCAGCTCTGGCGGTCTACAAATAAATAACATCGGATATAATATAAGCATAAGAAAAAATTGAACAGATAATGTCGGATTACCCATTTGTTCTAGTCTCAAAATAGTGGCTTAGTTCGTAGGCCAACATAAAATAAACGCGCGAATTCACAAATGCATTGTTCTCACCCTCACTGTTATATAGACGCGTGTACATATGAGCAGATTGAAATTAAGCGCTGTTTCCCTTCCATTATCAGAGGGCCGGGCGAAATTCGATTGGAAAATAAAGTCAATAATCGTTTTCGAGTAGGATAGTCAGCCTGCTTGGCCAGAGCTAAGAGCTGTATATAGTAATATAACCGATTCGTAAAAATAATTACAGCAGAGCAGACGACAATCATTCGGGCACGCTCGCATCTGTGAAGTGGTTGAAGCTCACACTGTGAAGAACCTGATTCGCTCCGTTTAACTAAAACAGCCGCTTTAAGCCTAATTAACTCGTCACTATGAAGCTTTGTTGAACGTGAAGCCTCATATTAACGGTAGAGAAAAAAATATGTAATGTGTCACGCTCTGCAAAATTATCTGTCCCCGTGACAATTGCTGTTTGCAGAAAACAAGATCGCTTTTTTTCCCACTATGCTTTCCAGATATAGAATGAGTTTTTATATTTTCTGGAACTAATAGCCTTACAATGGGTCGAAATATGCCCGCGATGGCTGGTCTTCTAGCACTGTTGCAAAAAACACATAGAACTTATCTAACATGCACTTGATAGATATGGCGCATCGAGTACGGTCCACTTTGCGTCAGATCATTCGGACGCTTTATTTCACGCCGAACGTCAAAGCGGATGGTCGCAAAACGGGCTCTCTAATTGTTACTAGTTTCAATAGTATTTTTATGGTAGATTTCTGAGCCAGAGTGAACAGTTTAAACGAAGAGCTGTTGACTTTGCAAATTATGAACGATGAACCTTGCTGTTTAGTCCGTTCTTTAAGTGAAAGTAATTACTCAATAACTTTGTACCCTGATTTCGATTATATCGAGTAACGCCAATCACAAAACACTTTACTAAGTAAGGCGTTCCATTTTCGCGGCTACCGAGCTCCGTTCCCATCCCCACAAAGTGGTTATACATAGTAACCACTGACGGCCAATATTGCTTACTTTGGCAAATCGTCAGGCGACGCTTGCTTGATAGCTTGAGACGTTTCGTTGTTTCACATACAAATTCCGAATAACTACAGCATAATGGTAGTAATGGCGGTTTAACGGCAGCGCTTATAAACATAGTGTAGATCGAATAGAAAAAGGTAAACACAACCTTTCGAATGTTTTGTTGTATATAGAGATTACCCTACGCAATCTTTCCTCGATAAGAAATCAGTCATCTTCAAACGCGAGAAAAATACGTGGAGATTGAAAATGAAAAGTTACTACGACCTATGGAACCTTGAGGCTTCAGAGCGCCGGAGCTGGTTTTCTTTCCTTCTTTTTAACGGCTAATAGCTTTTGGTTATAGGATTGCTGGTACGTAAAGGATTCAGTGCTGCGCAGAACCTTACCCCAGCCATATGCCGCTAAACCTTAAACTACTTAATCGTAACCGTTATTCAGAACGAGAATTTCTTTCGAAGGGCCATTATACTTACCAACATATGTGATCGTTATTTGCCACCGCGTTGGTGACCTCTTCTACAAGGTCATTGTAGTGTGAGCCACAATTATCTACAGACACTTTTCGGAAGCATGATGCACTCTGAAGATATTCTGCAAAGGCGAAAATACAATATTCGGAAGACGATTGGAGCAGAAGCAAGATAAAGATTATTAATGATTTAGCTTTAGCATTGCAATTAAATAAGAAGCGCTACTTCATCGTATATTTTTGTTATGAAACATCCAATCGAATCTACTTCGACTACTCTTTCTTTTTGTCAAACACTTTACTCAAACGTCTTTCCTTAAATTCGTTAATTTGACATTTCTCTAATCTATAGCTTGGTTGAAAGCGCAGTATTTCGAAAAAAAAACATAGATGGTGAACGTCCGCTGATATTTTGTGGTACTAAAGCAATGAACACGAACGTACCTTTCTGATATTTGTCAGATGAGCAGATTGCGTGAACTGTATCTACCGAGTCCCCCACGGCTTGATTAAAGCGATTCCGCTGTTCCTGGGTAGCGCAGTCCTTCGTGTATCGTCGAACGCAGTCCACAAAGTCACTCCACATTCTGAGAATTGACACGGGGCATAAACAATAACGCATCATATTGACACCATAGCTTGAGCCATACTTCTTCTTTTCAATTCGAAATAATTCCAGATGACTCCACATGTTAAAACGCTACCACAGCACTGCACGTCGCCTGTCACAATACGAAAATTGTTATTGCTGTGTACTGTAAGCTTTAGAAGCGTATAGGTGGCTGCCATCTAGTATTATTTGTGCGAGTATCACTCATCACAAGTTACGTGTATCACGATTGTTCGATTGAAGAACTAGTCGACCGTTCGTACACGTAATGAAAAACCCCAATTCAAAACTAAACCCATGCACGTAAAATAACTACTTAAACGACTTAACCGAATCACATTACGTAGTTGGACGCTTTGCTGGGTTCCCTGGTTTTCATCGAAAGTGAGTTTATGCATATGCCAGTGAAACAATTCCACCACAAAATACACTCTCTACTATCCAGTCGTTTCTGCGTCAATGCGAAAGAACCGTCCATAATTTATAGGTATATACCCTTAATACTTAACGGCCCGAGGTTTGCGATAGAAGAATATGGTCAGACAAAAACCTGAATGGGGCAAATTAAATAAATGGTCACGCTCACCCGATGATTTTATGACCAGGCTTTTGGTACCACCGTGGCATGCTATGACATGAAAGACCTACAAATACTCACCGGAAGGAGCTAAAAGTTACAAGACGATCTAGTACGGTCAGGTAACTTAGAAAAATTTCCCTATCTACGTGACTAGTGACTACCTGGATACGATATTCCTTCCTTCCCTCCCTCGCCCCATAGATAATTCGAAAAGCAGCGGTATGTTGACACTAGCTGGATTGAGGGACGTTTCGTCATTAACTCTAACGCAGAGAGTTAGCACCAAATTAAAGGGCGAATCAAATGAACCCATAAAACAACATAGTGGTCCACTAATATAGAACAATGGTCAAACGGAGTCTCGATCACTCAGCGTAAGAGGTCTATACGGACATGAAATAAATATGATATTAAACCTGCTTACGATCTAATTCCGTTTTGTGCTATATATATATATGTGCTAACCTTACATTAGATTAAAATTTACGACTTTTCTTTCGAACTGCGTCGGTACCCTATACATCATTTAAAATTGCGATTTCGCATTTGGCTTTTTGCCAGGATTAAAACGGCCACCAAAGCAGTGCGAGCCATCCGTACGGTATACAAGGGAAGTTGTTCCGGTTAAATTAGGTTTCTCGGACTCAGAGAATGCAATCCACCCTAACACTGAGGTCGATGAGGACGTCGGATAGCACACGACTCGGTAACTGGTTGAGAGTGGGAACTGATAGTACCCGACAACTGCGATCAGGCATTTTGTATCTGTAGAGTTTTATCAAAAGCTCTACCCTCTGGCTCTTTATTGTCTCGTAACGTTTCGTCCAGCGCTGAGCAACATGCAGCAACAATGACATATTCCCCATAGAAATGTTATCGGTGGCAAAAAGTGTTGAAAAGAAAGAACTGTGTGGCACTACGTCTAAGCTCCGAAATAAACCAATCTGTAATTTCCAGTTGGTAAAACCTGAACGATTTGCTAGACCGGAAAATAAAACGGTCCGCAAGGATCTGCATACGGCCCAGTTACCTTTAGCAGACGAATCTATCCAAGGAGAATACCTAGTAGAATAGTAATGCTTCCTAACGAAAATGGCAAGCCACATAGGAAAAAAGTTGGCAGGCCCGCCATGCGAACCCCTAAGCGCGGGATTCACTCCCACCCAAAGTATTCCCTAGAACTCCCGCGGATGGGATTACCACCTTCCTAATCACTGGAAAATGAAATTTACAATACTATAGTTGGCAATACAGTGCTTAGTAAAATGCGAGTGGACGAGTTTCTCAAAAGTAGACATAACAATTTCTGGCGAAACGGAATAGACAAATTTATTAAAATATGAAAGAAGATTATGCAAAGTCACAACGAATACATAATAAATTAGTTTATTTTCTACATTTTCCACGCTAAATTTTCGCTACAGGTCTGCGTTTCCTACCCGATTCAGCAAAAACACGATTACTAATTCTGGCTTAGCCTGGCCAGGTGGTCAGTAAATAGATCACTTACAACAGTTATTTCCACTTATATTACGATGCCTTTGTAAACACAGTATAAAAATGAGCATATCGTCGAACTCAAAACTCGTGAAAGGCCCCAACCTTAAATGGGTATATGCGTATATTTTTTATGCTTACTCATATTGTAAGTTTTTATATCAGAGCAGATAATTCCTATGGGTTTTTGTGATGTATTTTGGTCCCGATAGTTCACCGAATAGTAAGTTAAAGCCAACGTGTTAAGCGCTTGATACAATAGTATAAAATCGTGATTGGACATATAAATACCTCTACTTCGTTCCTTTGATACATATGCTTTTACATATCTTAATGCCATATTTCTATGCTGTTTGTTAGATAGCTACGATTATGTTTGTACGAAAAGCGCCGCTTCTGGTGGTTTATTGAACCAGCCAGAGTCTTGGTCTAGCGCGTCATCATCCGTCCGTCAGACGGCCTGAAAAGGAATCACATTAAAAAATCACTAGTACATCGTACCAATGCGATTTACCCGACAGGTGCGACAACGACGATATCTGATGGCCCAATGAAGGTCGTTCATCGGTAACTCATTGGCATTTTATCTGCAATATGTACTTACTTGACCGTGGCATCCAGACAAGCCAGTAGAAACCGTAGTCGCCAATCGTCCTAACAACAGCAGCAGTAGCACATTACATTTCCTTAGCCTGGTGTATTGATCTATCTAACGGCAAACAAATGTCTTTAGAATAGCAACGATAGCTATGGTGTGTACGTGGTGTTTGTCTGTGAGAATTTGCGTCGGCTGGCCCGGGTTGGCAGTGTCTATGACGCAGATGTTTATTGATGATGTACTCTTTCAATATCTGGGTTAATCGTATCACAATTGGACGTACTTCTCAGAAAATCAAGTCTGAGACACCGCGCATAGTCATCCGTAATGGCTTCTTGGTTGTTGTTGAGACACGACAATTTACGTACGAAGGTAGTCTATTTACTATCAGGTTGAACGAGACCACGAAAATAACAAAACTGAACAAAATTGAAAAATAACTTGTTTAGATTTTTGTACGGAGCGGATTGCTATAAGATGCATTATCGTGTTTAGGTACTTCTATCTCCATTGAATTGAATAGACAATTATTATAACGATAATAATAATAATATTAGGAATGCAAAAAATACAGTTCTGTATTACTGTGGCGTTGGTGCAGCTCTGAATACGGCATGCTTGTCATATAATCCTGATCATCTCAGAAAGCCCTTTTACTCGTGATCGTTGTTTTATCAGTTCATTCATCTGCTGATCGACTGGCAAAAGGTGACTTTTGTTTCAACTGCACCAAAAATAAAACAATAAATCTAATCAGCAATTTCGGGAGAAAGACTCATTTATTTAAGCTCGACTCCGCTAGCGGCCTACCTAAGGAAACTGTCCAACTGTAACGCTATCTAGGAGGGAATCAGCGAATCAATTTAATGTTTTTGTATTAACTTCAAACGAATATCGATTACTTAGAGAATGAAGATTGGCGTAGCAGCGAATTGGTTAGAGCTTATTTTGGGTCTTGATGTGCTTCATCGGGTAATTTAAACATAATAAGATGATTAATTGACCCAATTGGGCTCTCACTGATCGCAAGCGGGAGCCGTTTACTCTTCCTCAACCGTTCAAAAATGTGACCTCGGCTTGTAATCAGATGTTTTCGCTAGCATTGCAAAAGTCCAAAAGGATTGTATATAATATATTCGGCGGGTCATGCATTAAGAGGAATCCGGATAAGTTAGAAGTTTTAGCTTCTTTTTCAGTGATAAAATTGCGGTAGCAAAAAGAAAGACATCACTGCGAATTACTACCACCACTGAAATTACGTTTTATTTCTCTGAACTACGAAAAGTTTAACAATATAAAGCACTGGTGATGGTAAGTTAACGACGTAAGACACGTTCCGTGAAAGCTATCTGTACGTCCTTGTTCAGAAAAAGTTTTGGGGAATCATGAAGGTAAATTGTGAAGCAATTCTCGCTAGAATAGAAACGATCCAAAGCGGTTCCTCAATTTGTTCCACTTGTACATATTGTGTATGTATCAAATCATGTATTTACTGCAACAATGTAAATGTTATCTTCCTAGTCCATTGGCTTTGTGTTGTGTGAAAGGTCTATAGTATACATAGAGTTTATTTTGCGTTGTCACTCGCTTCGGGACAGAGTTACATAGTTTTACTCTCTCTATCTAATCCCAACAACAGCAGAGTGATTAAGGTTCGCACGAGGGTTCAACAGAGCCCACAGCCCCAGCTTCAAAGATAGCTGTGTAAAATGACATCACGCCATGTTGAGGGTTATGCTACCTCATTATCGATTATAACGATAGTAGCTGAAAACTATCATCTTAGTATCTATTCCCTGAACTTGTCTCAATGTAACCTACTTGCACATGTTGTCGACATCGTTGATTGTTGTAGGGAACATGTACTTAAGATCATGAAGAAACGGCCGGACCATCTCAGTACAATTTCGAAGTCGAGGTGCGCAGTCGCTTGGCCTGGCAATCGAGTTCCGTGGGAAATAGGCTAACATGACTGAAATTGAGCAAATCAAAATTCCGTTTATTATCTGTTTTTTTTTTTTTTTTTTTTGATAAGCACATATACTAAGTGTGTCTATTCACGTTTACAGCATGAACATACGGATCAACATTTTTCGTGAATTTAATTTGCCTCGGTGACGGGCTACGACAAGCGGGAAATGTTTGAAAATTTGGCCAACTTCTATCTAAACTTCCGTTAGGATTTCTTCAGCATTCGTTATAGAATACCCGGACACTCAAATCGAATATTAAATCACTTACTTTTTTGAAAAAGTCTTATATCAGTTATTAGTGCAGCTTTCTGCACGGATGGAGTGATATTGATTCTCCAACGGGTCTTTAATTGACATCAGTGTTTAAAAGCTGTGCTACTATTTAGCCCAGTATTGAATGCGTTATCTACGAACTTCGAACACGAAGATTTCCCAACTCGACCCTCAATACCTAATCATCGCCTCCGTCGTGAATGAGCTGCCTCAGACGAGAGAGTGTAGTTAACCTCATCAATTTCTTTAAAATTTTCGCCCAGCGTTCTGTAGAGATGAGCGTACCCGTCTTTTGTGGTTCTATCCACTGTGAAGATTGTTGAAGCTAACCTGTTCTCCCATAAGAAAACCGTGGCGCCATCTGCATTATTATGTCGCTTAAACGTAAACATTGTTCTATCGACATTACCACATCTTATTAATATTATTATGATAGTATACTGAGTCAACAGTGATATGGGGTCATGGGTAAATTAAGCCAAAGGAGAAACACACCCGACCGGCTAATTCCCAGCCAACACATTTTTTCAACTTAGCCACCTTTTTGGACAAATTTCTGTAGACCAACTGATTACAGGGTTGAACTTACAACAGTACCTACTTGTGACTAAAATCCTATATATTATAGCACATGTTAAATTTCGTTCAATTTTTGACACGGAAAGTGTAGACAGATTGGGTTACGTGAGCGAAGCGTTGCTGAATAACTAAGGGAGACAAGTGCAGGAAAATTTCAGAAAATACAATGTTATATATATATATATATATATAAGAAATTGTTGATAATGAAAAAAGACTTTAATGTATGTGGTATTCTACTTGACCCTAGTTGAACGAATATAATTCGGTATCATTGTGGTCAGTGGACGATGACTTATCCTTCACTGTTGTAAATTGACCACTGGAGATTCATATTTCTGGGTTGTGTGCATTTCAGTGCAGTGTGTTTACAAACAAAAAATGACTATTACTGAAACACGTATATTATAGATCATGTAATAATTGAAGTCTAGTCGTAGATTGGGATAAGTGGCCATTGACGCACGCGATAGCAAACAAAGCAAAGTACCGTGAAGTATTACCGCAGTGATAAATCTCTTCGCACAGTGATAAGTAAAGCAGAAAGCATCAGTCCTTTACGGGTAGGGCTAGTCGAATGTATCGTGTAAATATGGCCGATTCTTACTCGGAAAAACCAAACCACTTGAAAAATATAGAGCCAAGCACTATTGTTACTATTATTATTAGCAAAACAATTACGTACGTACGTACTGCTCCAGTGTTTGTTTTCACATCTATCAGTTAGTAGTATAATTAATGAAATTATTAGGCAACAATTCTCTGAAGCCTCTAATAGACGATGCGACCTAGAACGTCAGCAGTAATAAAAACAATTGTCTTGAATAGGCAGATATGACATTTCTGACAGATTTTCCGAGTATCGCTTATGAGAATATTTGAAAGATGTCCACCAAACGTACTGGACTAGCATTTTTCTCGTTGCCGTGTGCATCCTGCTGTTCTGTGTCCGCAAAACCGCTGCGTTTGAATTGTTCTTCGCTACGATGGGGGCAATCCATCTTTAGCACAAAATGTCGGGTAGAATGCTACTACCACAAGACGAATGCCTGAGCATCATCAAATGCAGTCTTTTGACGGAATAGGGTAATATTGCCACAAAGAAGTTATAGTTCGCAACGTTCCACGTACTCGTTATCGCAGCCAACTTGTTTTTCATCAAATAATACAACTTGTTTTTATTTAAAAAAATCAATTCGAGCTGGAAGCCTTATCGTTGTGTTCAACGGATAATACGGATGATTGGCTAACGTAGTAAGCATGTTGTACCAACAGACGATAGCGCGCTAAAGGTATCGACAAGGGTGGAGCTCTATTCACGTTCATCTCCGTCCCGAGGGAACGCTAGAGGCCGGTCCTGAAGCTCGTGCTCACCGGGGATCCGACCCACATTTAGGCCCTATGAGTAATGAATGCGATCATGGGATACCTAGCGCCCAACTCCTGCGTTCGAACATTCGCCTGCCGTAGGATGGCGGGCGATTCTATGCCTGTGGATCTTCGATCACGACACCAATGTGCCAACCGGGTTCTATGAACAAAGCCAACAGCTTTCGTGGAGGAAGTTCTCGTGAAACGAGCACTAGCCTTTGAAGCGATGCGTTTATTTTTGTGCTAAAATATGTGTCTATATGTATACTATCTAAGTATAGAAACCTGTGTTACAGATTAAGACTACTATCCATATTATTCGCAACCTGGCCATTAGCAAAGAACGAACATTAGATACGAACACGACCCCTAACAAGTACACGCTGTGGTCAGAGTTAAATTGAGCCCGTTAATCAACCATAGCTTATACATTAATATTTGTTGAGATGATAAGAAAATTGTCAGTATTGTGTTTTGTGATCAATTAATCAATCTTGTTATTTAATTTTTAACTTATAGTTTCAATGCCTTCAAGCAATGACTCCAAAAACCAAGCAGTTCGCATAGTAAGTTTTGTTATCAAGTAAATATTAATAAAAGAAAAAATAAAACGCATCTTCAATTATAATTACATGCTCGAAGTAGCGACGAACTACGGGTGTTAAATGCCTACTTTGATGCGCCTAGGATGAAGCTGAAGCACACGGCCAGGTATCAGTAAACCAACCCGAGAGTGCCACCACATCTTCCGCAAAGCTTGGCCGTCTGTTTTATTTTATAATAAGTGTATGTATGGGGCGTAACACGCGATCTATTGGTCGTTCACTTCACGATAGTCCCCATCATACGATATCTACCGGGGCAGAGTAACTAACGGTCCATTGTGGCAACTCATTGATTCTGGACACTCTATTTAGTATCAATTCGTATATACTACATACGTTCTGAATTGATGAGAGCATGAAGCCGCTACACGTATTAGGATCGCTGGCGTTTCTCTAATAGGAACCAGCAAAATACACTGAGGTTTGGGTGCCTGCGTTTCACCTTGACCATGTTCGGAAGTCGTTCGAAGTGGTGCACAATTAGTAAAACGAAGCAACTATACATAAATTGAACAGTTTAGCTTTTTTTTTTTCTGTAAGTACGAATTATGTCTGGTGATTTCTCGATAATTATCGATAATTAGGAGTGATTTCGCAAAAACCCTTAATGGGTCTGGAATGATAACCTACGTTGAGGATCCGTAAAAATTTTACCAGGTGTTTTTTCCCTTACAAGCTGCTATCAACGTGACCACAAGCTTTTTTTAAGGCCCGTGGTAATGCATTAGTTTATTTTCGGCACGACTGGAAAGGAAGACTCGTAGAGTTTGTCGTTCTGTAGCAGACGTTTAGATTAGCCTCCTTGTCGGACCCGTTGGTATTTGAATCGACTCCTAGTGAAATATGAACGTGGAATAGAGGTTAATTGTTTCAAACTTACGCCCAACCTTTAGGACCTGACAGAAATAAATGTTGGTTATCCTTAAACCCTTACTTACTGAATGTCGCATAGGCCTTCAATTATCTCAAGAGCTACATGCAGCCTATTACGATAACAGTTTAAGGCCGTAGCTGATTAGTTTGAAGAACCAATACTCTTCAAAATACCGATCGAAAACTGGTAGAATTTAAATGTTAAAGTCTGTAAAGCCAAACGTCAATTTTACCAGGACCAAAATTGGCCACCCGTTGTGAGACCAAGCAGTTTGTTTTTGGACCGGACAACGGGAAAAACGGTGCGAACAGCTATAACGACGACTCCTTTTAAGTCGGGAGCAACTATGAAGGTTCATAATAATGTGTTTAAGTTGCGACAGCAAATACATTTGCTCACTTTATTTTTACTACGATCCTCAAAGGTACTCCTGAAATAAACTCAACGCAATTATTCACAGGCTGACCCATATATAT